TACTATTCAAGATTACACTCCGTCGTTCTCGGCACTTGCGGACCAAGTGGACGGCCTCAGCAAAGCAGAAAGGCGGGACAAATACATCAGCGGGCTGCATTCTGATATTCTGTACGAGTTGCAACGGTCCCGGCCCAAGACGTTCAATGAAGCCGTCCAACTGGCATCAGCAGCTGATGCACTGCAGCAGTGGGCAAAAAAAAACAACAGGGATGTTGGTCGTTTTCATGGACAGTCTCCCCCCCCCACGATGAATGGTGTGTCTACGCCCGATGAAGTATTTCACGGGCTATGTTATAGATGTGACAAGCCAAGTCACCGAGCTACAGTAAGTACTGCTCGACGGCGCCCAAGAAGACGAAGAACGACAAGGAGAAGTCGAGAAATGGGAAAAGTCTGTAGCAGACGGGCCCCTAGTGACGAGGCTTTGTCGCCCGAACTTCAATGTTCCCACCAAGTTGTGGTATCGATACATGCTATCGACCGTACTCGGACGAAAAACGAGAGCGAACCTGAAGATCACCCAGTGCTGGTCAAAGGCAAGGTGAATGGCAATAAAATAAAGTTATTTGTGGATGGTAGGGCTAGTCACAGCCTGATCCCCGTGACAACAGCGAAGTAGTTGAAGCTAACATTGGAGAAGTGCTTACCCGAAATTGACGTACGACTGGTGGACGATTTTGGATCCACTTGCGATTCGAGAACGGGCGCGCATGGTGCGGATGAAGTGTGGCGACGATTTCGGATTCAGCATGACCATGCTGACGACGATGCTTGACGGCTGTGACATCCTTCTCGGACGCGATTGGCTGCGAAAATACAACCCGAGGATCGATTGGACAACTGGCGAATGCAGCGTGCACTGTGCGAACGGGTGGTGCGTACTTCCGTACTGGCGCAGGCGGGATCCGGTGTCAACATGTGTCGTTGACATTGTTCACGAGTAGTGAAACAGGGACGCTGTCCATCTGAATGAAGCGACGGTTGACGTCAAGCCGAAGGACATTGACACGCTCTGTGCCAATGTCCCTGCCGAGCTCGATGCGTTGATTCATCAGTATCCGGATATTTTTTCGGATTAACTGCCAGCCGGCTTACCACCTGAGCGCCCCCAGGTCCACAAAATTGACCTGGAACCTGGCGCGCAACGAACCGTCAGGATACAGTGGCGGCTGACTCAACCCGAACTCACGCAGTTGCGGAGCCAGCTGGATTACCTACTGGAGAAGGGGTTCTTTCGGCCCAGCACGCCCCCGTTCGCAGCACCCATTCTGTTCACGCCCAATAAAAATGGAGGGCTCCGAATGTGCATTGATTACCGGGCGCTGAATCACTGAACCATCAAATCTAGCTATCCAATCCCACGCACGGACGATCTCCTGGACCAACTTCGCGGGGCCCGCTTCTTCTCCAAGATTGACGTGCGAGGAGGTTACCATCAAATCCAAGTTTTCGCTGACGACTGCCACAAGACGGCGCTCCGACCCGTTATGGCAGCTACGAGTACATAGTGATGCCATTTGGCCTCACAAACGCGCCCTCGATATTCCAGCTGACCATGAATGGTGTGTTCCGAGACCCACTCGACAAGTGTGTCATAGTCTATCTGGATGACATTCTGATCTTCAGCAAAACACGCGAACAACACCTCGAGGACCTCGACACGGTTTTTCAACAGCTGCAGCAGAACCGACTCATCACCGAGGGCTCTAAGTGCAAGTTCCTAACATCCAAACTGGAATTTCTAGGACACCTCGTTGGAATGGACGACATTAAAATCGACCCGAAGAAGATCACCACCATCCGAGACTGGAAGTCGCCCACGAATTTACAGGAGCTGCAGAGTTTCCTCGGGTTCGATAATTACGTCCGACGGTTTATCCCCAATATGGCGGGGACAACCGAACCTTTAACTGACTTGTTGCGGAACGACACTTCGTTTGAGTGGGGGGAGAGACAGCAGGCCACTTTTGATGAACTCATAAATTTTCTGATGTCACCCCCGGTCCTCCGAATCGCTGTTCAATCTCGACCGTTCGAAGTCTTGACGGACGCTAGCGATTTCGCCATCGGCGCGGTACTATTACAAGATTTTGGCGACAGAATCCAACCAATCGCGTACCAGTCCCGGAAGCTGTAGACAACCGAGCGCAACTACCCTGTCCACGACAAAGAAATGCTCGCCATCATGCACGCGTTTAAGGTGTGGCACTGCTACCTGACGGGAGCCGATGTGACAGTACAGACCACCGCAGTACCTCCGCGCGCAGCCAAACCTCAACCTACGACAGATTCCCTGGCTGGATTTCCTCGAAAGCAACTTCCACTACACCATCACGTACAAACGTGGAGGGAATAACATCGTCGACGCACTGACACGACCGTCCACTCACCTCGCATCCGTCATCATTGCACAATCCAACCCACACCTCAACGGACTATTTACCCACGACTATAGCACTGTCCCCTTTTTCACTCGCAAACTCCTCCAGAAAGCTACAACGGCCAAGGGAATTTATCTCCTAAAAGCCGACACTGGCCGTATCTAGGTCTCCGCTTACTGACTCCTCCGCGAATTACTGATTCAAGAAGTCAATGATTCTAACATTTTCGGTCATTTCGGGGCTGATTAAACCCAGAAATTACTTCAACGCTTTTATTATTGGCCAGATTCGACGTCTGATGTGCAGAGATACGTTTCGGCGTGCCCAACCTGCCAGCGCATGAAGTCCTCTTGACAGCGGCCAGCTGGACTGCTGCAACCACTCGAGCCACCCCAGAAGTCGTGGCAACACGTGACGATGGACTTCGTCACGGGACTCCCGGCCAGTGCAAGTGGCAATGATGCCGTCCTCGTCGTCGTCAATCGCCGGACGAAAATGGCGCATTTCGCACCCTGTCGCACGACAATCACAGCTAAAGAAACAACCAAATTGTTCATCTCAACCGTTGTTCGCATGCACGGCCTCCCATCGGCGATCATCAGCGACCGCGACCCCAAGTTCACGTCCAAAATCTGGCAAGAGACATAGGAATAGTAAGGCACCCGCCTGCAATTTTCGTCCGCCTACCTCCCGCAAATCGACGGCCAGACAGAGTGCACAAATCAGACCATGGAGGAGTTGATTCGCACCAACTGCCCCGACCACGCCCGATGGGAAGAATTCCTGGCCACGTTGGAATTTTCCTACAACAACGCCCCATCTGCAATGACTAATCACTCGCCATTCTTCCTCAACTACGGGATGGATCCCATCATCCCCACGATGACCAATATTGACAACCCCGTGCCCGTGACCTACAGACCGCCTGGGAGAAAGTGATCGAATTTATTCGCAAGTCCAACACTACAGCCCGACGATACACCGACCTTCATCGCCGAAATATTACGATGGCCATTGAGCAACTAGTCCTTCTCGACACGAAGAACCTCCGTCTGCTCCTGCGGTCCAAACTTCGCCCAAGATTCTGTGAGCCTTTCCGCATCCTCAAGATGGTGACACCCGTCCCGGCGAAACTATTACTCCCGGTCGAGTGGCGCATTCACGACGCAATCCATGGCAGCCTCCTTTGTCCTTATGTCGCCAGCACGTCCGCAGTTGCACAACCAGCGGCCGTCCCCAGTGTCCGCCCGATGGTCGAACCGACCCTTGAGCGTTTCCGGCTTTTGAGTCATCGCGTCCGCCTCGACACTACAGGACGCCACGTGGATTTTCTAGTCCGCTGGGCCGATCGTACAAGTGAAGACGACACGTGGGCCACTTCCGACTCGCTTCAGGAACACTCATTGCTCAACTCTTCTTTGACCCGAAAAGGTTCTCCCGATATTGATCACCTTCCTTAAGAGGGGGGGTATTGCAAGGAATTTTATTCCTTACCGGGTTGTACTGCAATTGCGTACACCCGAACTCTTGGAAGACCAGGCTCGGTCTGATTCCGACGCAACCCCGAGGCTGGCTCGTGTCGCCTCCGGCCCTTTCTGTCAAGATAAGCTAGCTAGCTACCTTTGACGTGGCTGGGCTCCGCGACGGTGGGATGGCCGGCGCGAGTCAGCCGTCGGCTGCGGCGAAGAAGAGGGGACACAGGGGAAGGGGGCAGGGCTTCAGCAGCGGAGCCCGGGAGCGTGCCGCCCCGTGTGGCGCGCTGGCTGCATGCGGGCGTGCTATCCAGCACTAAGACGGGGTGCTGGCTGCTGCCGTCCGTGCCGTACGCGCGCTGGCAGCACGTCGCTACGGTAGTACGACAACGCCATCACTCCGCCACGGCTTGACGTTGACGCCACGACAGCGCGACGCCACGGCAGCGCGTCGAGACGGCCGCGGCAGCACGATGCGGCCGGCGACACGACGACGCCGCCACAGCAGCACGACGCGGCCGCCACGACAGTACGAGAAGGAGAGGAGGAGTGCGCGGCAGAAGCGTGATTAGCAGGCCCAGGAAGAGCAACCTGCTCTGATACCATATCAAAGGTAGCTAACTAGGAAGAGGAGACGCCATGAATGGCGAGAGGTTTTAGGTGCTAGGAAAATGTCGAGAGAGAAGTGGATGAGATTAGACGAGAGAGGGATACAAGAAGGGGGGTTGTACCCTCTACAGTAGAATCCAGTAACACCTACCAAGCCTACAATTATATAGATAAAATATATAATTTAACACTTTCGACAGTGCCTGTACGCAACCTAGCCTTCCGGGCTCGTCGCCTAGCTAGAGTTCTCGCTATATAATGCTAGGCTCCCATTCTTGTACTCGTCATTATTATTCGGTGCACTCAGTTATTATTCGTAACAGCCTCACTGTGTGTAACTCACGCTTCCGAAGGGAGGAAGGCTACCACGGTGACACCTTCCTCTGGCCTCATCCTCTCGCCTTTCCTTCCCCCACCCCTCTGCCCTCCTCCCACCACCCCCTCTACCACCTACCTACCCCCCTGCGCTGCCCTTTGGAGAGAGGTACCTTGCTGGTGAAGGTTGGAGCTAGGGTTTCTATTTCGTTGATCTGGTTGTTCGCCTCCCAATTTCTAACGGCCGTTTTCCCGCATCGGCTGTTCCGCTCTATTTGCCTAATCTCTGTGGATACTGCGCCTGCAGAACTGGGCTTTTGTCTTCGCGCTTCGGGTGATATACACACCCGAGATGTTTACGCATCCTCCTCCACTTTCCAGTCAAGTCGTTTTAGGCATGGCTGCTTCTGGAATGGGGTCGTCCAACCACGGTAACCACCTCCAGAGCGGATCGACACTGTTAGGTTCGATTCCTGTATCTTCTCGCGTACAATCTTCTGGCGACGACTTCACGGAGGAAGACATTTGGTCGGTAACGGATTCTGATAACCCATCCGACGGACTCGTCAGGGTTTCGTTACATGACCAAGGCGTACCGTCAATGCGTCTTAATAACCGCATCAGGCCTGAAGCAGACACGAACCAAGCTCAAGGGCTCGCGATCCTTTCGTCAGACATTCTGTCTTTCGGACAGCGTCCTGCGGGAGACATTGTCAAGCCGACTGGAGTTAACCCAGTCGTTATTCCAACGGTTCACAGCCATCTGGACCATCTAAAGTCGAGGCTTTCTCAGGGACACCACCGTGCCTCCGCTCCTGTGAACGTTCCTGACTGGAGTAAAATAACCGGCAGATCGTCAAAACCGTCTCATTGGATGGCGAACGACGATCCCGAGGATGACGCTGATGACGCCATGGTTCCTCCGCACGAGCTTGCAGCGAGGAATATATCCCCGACAATGTGCTTCTCGGTTCACGAAGGAGTTGGAGGGACGTTACGAGGCAGAGATCTGGCTCGCGTACGAACGGCTATTCTGCAGAAGACGGGTTTCATCGACTCCTAACGTCCCGCTTCTGCCTCTGCTTTTGCTTCGGACGCTCCTTCACATCTTCCAACGGCATTCTCCGACGGTGTCTCTCAGAAACGACTGGACCAGGGGTGTGTCTGTTTTGAAGTCATTATTTAATGGGTACCTAATGCCGTGAGTTATTCCCGTTCACTGGCATGCAGGTGACTTCCCGTAGGGAAAGCCCGGCCTGCTTTATGCAAGACCCCGAGTTTAAACAGTTATTTATCTCGCGATTGGGCAACTGGCCGTGCCTGCACGTGCTGTGCAAGTCTCAGGGAATGAGGTGGTTGGTTCCTTGCCCTCCCAAGGAGTGCAAAGACTACCTACCATAGGTGCTTCGCTTCCACCTATCCCGGCTAATGTGTTGGGTTCTGCTTTTCAGGTCCCATCCCAGATTACTTCTCAACCTGGGATTGTCAAAATTACCGGTATTGAAGCCTTACTGGTGTCTGGACACTGATTTCGTAGTCCAAGTCTGAGAAGTGTAGAGTAGCTGTGGCATAGATGATCTAGTTGATGTGTTTCATTCGTTCCACGATGTGCAATGTGCACCTTGTGCAGGCACTAGTGTCTCATTGAGAAAGCACACTAACACAGATACTAAATAGGAGAATTGTCCCCCATCCTGCTCTAACTAAGCAGACTGCTTGTGTGGTACAGTCTACACTGTTGTGATGTAATTGATACTTAGCATTTCTGTAAGTCGATTATGTGTAGATAGTGTCGAATCCTTCTGTAGAACATAAGTCCGTAGGATGACGTCAGCAAATAGCGCTCGTCATAGGACAGTCGTTTCAGTCACGCGAACAGTCGCACCTCTTCATTATCGTTTAGGGCGCATAGCGCGATAGTGACGAACAGGTACATTAGCGAATAGGTACTTTCCTAGAGCTATAAATCTTTGTTGTATTCTTTTTATTATTAACCTTGAGAGTTCAACTTTCACAACTTTGAGACTTAAGTTCTGCAGAAACATATACTCAGGTTCACTCTTATAAGACTTCCGCTGTCTTACTAGTCTACCGTTCCAGTAAAGATCCAGGACCAGGGCCTCAGATTGCAGGCTTTTTACCCTGATTCAGGGTAAAATCAGGGCTTTTTTGGGGGGTGACCTTGATGAGACAGGATTTTTTTAAGACAGAGGCCTGAAATTTCAGAGTTTTTTTAAGAGTGAACTCTGATCGATCAGCGTGCGTAGTGTAGTGTGGCCTGTTTTTCCAGCGTCGTATCGAAGCCCGACCCTGATTCTTGTAATAGCGGATTCCCAGTCCCAACTCCCCCACCCCGTGATTTCCGTGAATCCCCCCCCACCGTCCCTGTCAATGACGCCGACTCGAGTGTGACCGACCAGATTCCAGCCCCGCTGGAGAATATTCTGCCAAATTTCCTCCAGCACATAGTGCTCGGCGGGGTCTAATTGGCTGTTCGAAAGTTGTCAGCCACTGCTGTCTTCAGCAGAGCGTGGCTGCAGGGGTTGGATTGGCTCATTGCCGAATTTCAGCCACAGCAGCCAATAGACCAGGTACAATGTTAGACAGTTGGCCCACCAGCACGGCAGTAGACCGCTACCCACCCGCTTCGTGAACCACATGCATGCATGCAGAAGGCTGTTGCGAGCCGCGTGCCCTCCAGAAACCTCAAGAGACCCCATCCTCTTCATCGATGTCTTCAATCGATGCTGTGCTGCCACACCTGCTGCCTCGTTCAAGTCGGGTGCTTCCACCCTCGTCATTCCATTTCTCCTCCACGATTGTGACTGGTTTCTTTACCGTTGCCATCGCGCGATGGCAGCACCTAGCGACGGTGATCCAGAAGGCGATGACGGTGGTAGCATTCCTCGTGCAGACCTGTGCACGGGGCTCGACTTGCTCCTCTCGACACTGTCTAGCCTTACCCGCATCCCGATTAGAGCCGATGCTGCGCCTAGAGAACAGGAACTTGCAAGAAAGGAAATAGCCGACTCAGTTTCCGATGTAGTCGTTCTTCCTGGGCAGAGTCTTGGACCCGGTCCGTCGGCACTAGCCGCCGTCGATCGCCCTGCTACTGCGACGACAACTCCCAAGCGCCAAGGTCGCTATCGCCAGGCCAAGTTACCGTTCGCGAAGCCGAATCCGGGAACTGCCGAGCCGCCGGAGTCGATACCTGCTGATGACGATGAAGAGCCGTCTGAAGACGATACACCTTCAACCTCCAGGAAGTCTCTAAGTCCTTCCGAGCTTTACGCTGAGGCTCTTTCCCGTTACAATTCAAGGTGGCAGGAGCAGTTTCCCTGGCTCCTTTTGTGTAAAGCTAACGATGGGCGCCCTGCCTTTAAGTGTACCATCCGTCTGGAGCATGCAGGGCTCTTTGGAAGGACTGGTCGTCGTGGGCCAGGAATCACAGACGCACAAACACAGGCGTTCAACAGGCACGCTGGTACCGGAAAGCACCGTCTCGCGTTCGGGAAGCAAAACGTTCTGCTGCAGGAAGCTACTACCCAGACGCGAATCGATCAGAACCCGCACGCCGCGGATTTGGAGAGGGAGCGAGTGACTGCGCTTCTCGACCTGCTGTACACATGTTGCAAGACCAACGAACCCATGGACACATGGGTCACGATCACCAACCACCTTGCGTCGCGGAAGTTCAAGAACTTCCCCGAGGGCGGATACGGGACGTACATGAACTCGTAAGGCCTAAATTCCTTTAGACTTTAAAGCTTCGGATTCTTACTTTCCATCCTTATAAACCACTACTGACGAGATTTTTTATGTTATTAAACGCAGGTGCGGTTTCGGGGAGTTCACGTAATCCACCGCGACCTGGCTGCACACCACCCAGCTGGAGCACCTCCTGCGGAGCCCGTTCATCGGACTTAGCCTCGACGAGAGCACGGACCGTTGCAGAGGAAAGCACATGATAGTCTTCTGCACTTTCATCCGGGACCTCCGCGTCGTCACCGAGTACCTGGTGCTGCTCAGTGTTGACAAGGCGGATGCCTCTTCTCTGCTCGCTCTGCTGCTCTCCCACCTGCAAGCAATTGGTGTCGATCTCTGCCGCATTTCGGGCATCAGTACAGACGGGGCGGCGGTGATGATGGGCTCGAAATCCGGCCTGGTAACTCGACTCCGGATGCGTATCCCTCACCTGGTCTCCTGTCACTGCATCGCTCAACGGTATTTTTTTTTTTCCTTTTTTTTTTTCCGCATTTGCACGTATGGTGACTCGGGACAATACTAGCTATCACTCATGGTGGTTTGTTTGATTTCTCCCCGTGCTCTTTTCCATGTGCAGAGAGGCGCTGGCAGCTAAGGCGGCGGCGGAGGACATGCCGTTCTTCAACATCATCGATGATGTCATCAAGGAACTGGCCGAGCTCCTTGGTCGCTCAGGACCGTGGCACCAGCGCTTCCTCGACCTCCAAGACGTCTTCCTCCCGACATGCTTGGAGCTGCAGGGTATTCACCAAGTCAGATGGCTCTCACGCGGCGAGGCCATCGGATGGCTGGTGAAGGTCTTGCCAGCCATCGTCGTCATGCTGTCCGAGTTTGCCGACGACCGTCTTTACAAGATTGTCATGAGCTACAGGTTTTGGTTTGTGCTCATGTTTCTTGCTGATGTTCTTGAGCAGATGAACATTCTCAACAAGACTTTCCAGAGCCGCGAGGTAAGTTTCGTCACATGGTGTTCCTAAACCGCTACTGACGAACCATTGTTGTCTTACTTGTGTTCTCAAACCCCTTCCCGCAGCTGGACATGTCAACGATTCATGCGTCGGTCTCCCGTGTGACGTCCCTCCTCGAAAGCCGCTACGTCGACTGCGGCGACGACTTCAACAGGGGCCCGAAAGACCTGCTCACGACCTTCCTTGCCCGTCACGGTCCTGGTGGTACGCGCAGCGTTACTGTCGAGGGCATCGACTCCGATGGGCGCCCGAGTCGATTCACCTTCGACCTGCATGAGGAGCCATTGGATGGCTACCCAGGTGAGGGCAAGCACGACGACTGTGTCGTGGCATGCATGGCGCTGGCAGAAGGCATGGTGCAGAACCTGGACGAGCGGCTGGGGGACTTGAAGCAGCTGGGTGGTTCAATGCTGTTCTGTGCGGACCAGTGGCCGAAGGGGTGGGAACGTGCTCCACGGAAGGCCCAATGTCTGGAGTGGTTCGGGATGATGGTCGACCTCTACCATGCAGGGGAAGCCGAAGAAATTCTTCCAGGTATCTCACCTGTCTTTAACCCCGAGGCTTGCACGATTTGTTAATGTGGTCCGCTCTACCCTACTGTACTAATACTCTCCTCGTTCTCCCTCCTACCCTTCCCCTACTGGCAGGCATCAACAAGCGAGCGGCTGTGCTGGAGATCCCCAATTTCTGCCCCGTCCTTGCCGCCCTGCCAAAGGGTGACAAGGGTTTCTACACCGGCTTGATGACCATGCTGAAGTCTCCAGACTGGGAGGATAGCTTCCCCAATCTCGTCAAGCTGTGGTGCGCTACGGCAGTTCTTCCCCTGAGCACAGTGGAATGTGAACGAGGGTTCTCCCGCCATAATGTGATCAAGAGCTGGCTGCGGGGCAGCATGAAGGACTCACGCCTTGGAGACTTGATGTGTATGAGCCTGCTAGACTACGACCCAGACTGGGATGCCATCATTGACATCTGGAGAGCCTACAAGAAGCGGAAGCCCTACAGCACTGCCCCACAGAGCAGAGCCCAGAAGAGTAGGAAGGGAAAAGAGAAGGAGGACGATTCCCCTGTAGTCCACGACAGCGTGCAGGCAGAGGAGGATGCTTAAGTAGGTCCTAGTATGCCCATGTTAAATTGTAAACCCTTGTCTTTAAAAAGATAGTAATAATGGGCATTTAGTTGAACAGTGTGTTTTTTTGTAGGTAACTCTGTTTTTTCAGTGCAAAATCTTTACAACACCCTGATTGATCAGCGTAAGTTTCTTTGCGTGGCCTGAAAAAACAGTGAGGCAAGGGGGGGGGGACCCTGAGCGATCAGCATGCCCCAAAACGAATCTGAGGCCCTGTCCAGGACCAACACTTGAGGATTTCCAAGTGTTAGCGTTTGCAGTTTTATACTTAGTCTTCTACAACATTGGACAAGTTATTTCATACACAAATCGTCACGATCTTAAAGCGAGGGGCTAAAATAGTGAAGGCGGGTCCAACTTGAAACCAAGGGACCCTCGATTTTTTCTAAGGGGTTGTTAGCCTTACTCGGCAGAACCAGGGCAGTTCCATAACGCAGCCGCACTGTTCAGAGCGAACAAGCGCGAGCACACGATTGGCTGGGAAATTTGTAGGACAGAGTTTGCGAGCTGTCACAGGTCGCAGGTACTTGTGCGACCCCATTGCCTCTTCATTCTCCAAGTGGATCCAACTTGGTTTTCAAGTTGGACCCGGGTTCACTACTCATGCAAGAACACAACTGGTTTTCTGATTGGTCGAAATTTCTCCCCACCTAGAGCTACCAAAGAAAGGCGTATTTACTTCGACCACCCGCCAACCACACTTTTCCCATTGCGTGTCCAGTCTTTTGAGTTTGACTGAAACGCGACCAATCGAGGTCGACAAAATACAGTAACAAACGAGCCCCAACGAGGCATGCTAGCTAGTATTATGTGTATAAACAGAACCCTGTCCACATATCCGAATTTGTCACGTGGGCAGGTGCTTTTGCTGCTGAGTGACTGCCCGCCCCGAAACAACGTTTTCTTCTGCCCGCTCGCGTCTACCCCCCATATGTTCGAGGGTCCCAATCAAGTTGGGCCCAACTAGAAAGATGGGTCACTATTATAACCTCTCGCTTTAACAGATGTAAAACTCAATGGCTCCAATAGTCGTGTTTCTCTCTGCACTGATCTGTTGGAAATATCTCGAAGACTTAAGCGTTTCTGAAGTGTAACACCACACTCGAGGAAGATCGTAACGGGTACGCGAGTCAACGGAGGTTACACGAGGGGGTGGACAAAGAACACGAAAGGACTCGAGGGGTCGCAACCGGAGGTTGCGACTAACCGTTACAACTGCAATGATGGTAACTGAAGCGACAATCGAGTCGCTGTGCGACTCGATAACCGCTCTTTCAACTGTATTCTATAACTGCTTTACTTTCCTACTTTCTATATATTGTTGTATGCTTGTTCTTTTTAATCAATCACTTGCTCTCACATACTAGTGCAAGGGTTCAACTACTCAACTTCCGCTGCACTACTCAAGTCTCCTTTTACAACTGGGACTTAGTCTCTGAAAGATCCTAAGGGCTTTTTATCAGCTCAACATGGTATGAGAGCTGGTCAGAGACCAAACTCCCAGCAACTACGCTTTATCTACAGTTAGCACACCAACGACTTCATTGAATTACAAAGTCATGGACAACAAGGGCAAGAAGATTTCTACGGGCTCACCAAGTGGCAAAGACACTCAACCCGGCAACTCTGGACTGCACACTTCAGGACTGCAGACCGAGACCGGCGCTGCTCAAGAAACAACAGGAAGAACACCAGAAATGGTGACTCCATCACCCTCTTCAAGCATGGACCCCAACCTTATGGAAAGGTTCTTCAGCTTCATGTCGCACTTTGACCAGCAGCAGCAGACAAGGACACATGCGCATTCAATACAGAGCAATGGAGGAAACATGGGATTAGCGCCAATGAGTCTCGACAACTCATCGTTCGGGCGACACAATCAAGCGACTACCTTTGCGCCTTATCACTCTTCACCGAGGACGTTCGAGTTCATGCCGCCCCGTGCCCAACCAACAGCAGCTGCATCACAACAGACACGAAACGAGGATACTGAGTCTCCAGGCGCAGTTTTCACACGTGATCAAACTGCAGACATCCTCACCGTTCAACGGACACGACTTCTTTACCTGGAGCTTTGAGTTCGAGCTCCTGATGGAGGCTGCGCACCTCTTGGGATACTTCAACGGGTCCCTGCCATTTCCAAGCAATGGCACTGCAAAGGAGCAAGAAATATTTACTTATCAGTCGCTGCTGGCGTACACAGTTCTCCTGCGGAACCTGTTATTACAAGAACGGCAAAACATCATAACGTAACGGAGCTATGGAAACTCCGCGGAACTCGCATGGCATCATCTCAAGTGTCTCTATCAAGCAAACGACAGCGTAACACAAAGCAGACTCATGCAGCAGCTGACAACAATACAGATGAAGACCGGGGAAAAGGCGATGCAGTATATGAGTCGCTGCCAGACACTCCGCGACCGCCTGCTTCGGTGCGGAGGTACAATCACTGAAGAAAGCTTCGTGACACTTGTCCTCGCTGGGCTCGGACCAGGATGGAGAACCACCCGCTTGCTTCTTCGCGCCCACGGACAAATCTCGGAGATGCACCTCTGCGCCGAACTTCATGCTGAACAACAGGAGATGGACCTATTTGAAGAAAGACAACCAAGGAAACAACAACCGTTAGTTTTCTACACTCAACGAAGAAACGACAACAACTACAACCGACGCGGCAAGCAAGATCAACGCGACAACAGAGGACTCACCATTGTGCCGCCATTCTGCCACAACTGTCAAACATCCGGACACTCCAAAGTCAACTGCACACGCCGCCGAGCTTATCGTCCAGTAGACCCACAAGTCGCTTCCACTCAAGAAAGCCCGCCGAGGAGTTCCTCCACATCTGCACAAGGCACACCGAACATCATCAATTGCATGGTACACATCGACAACTGCGCACCCGGATCACCACCCACTTACGCTCCAGACGAAGAAGAACTGTCGCCGCCGCGCTCACAAGGACTTCAAGTCAACCCAACATACGCTGCAGTCGCCAACGCCGAACCCACCGGGCGAAACACTTGGTTCTTGGACAGCTGCTGCAGCCAACATATGTGTTCTTCCGGGCGCTTCGTGTAGCGAGAGCGATGCCTCAACCGCGATGTCATCATCACCGTCGCCAACAACGAGAACCTGAAAACAAACAGACAAGGAGTGGTTCAGTTGCAGTCCATGGAGACAAACGTTATACTGCAACTGAACAAAGTTCTCATCGTCGACAATTTGGGATACAATTTACTAAGCGTCAGCCAGCTAATGGCGAAGGGAATTCACTTGGAATGCGACTCGGGCGCCAACGAATTTCGCCTTTACCACGGGAAGGGCAGTCTTTTCATCGATCGCGCTCTTCTTAAATCGGGTGTCTTCGTGTTGGATTTCGTCCCCGACCGCGGTACTGCCGACAGCGACGGGATCGTGTCGTTCGCTGCCTGGACGCATCCACCGGATCTTGACCCCGACTTCACCCCCGATGGATTCTGGTACTCCAACACAATACCTGCATCAGAAAGAACCCGAGCGTTAGCAGTTATCCGACAAGAAAGACACGTACCAGCAAGTGTCTCACCCGCAACATCACCTGCAGTAGCAGCAACAGGACCTAGTCAAATACCATCACCAGCAGTCCGAGGGCCACCAACCGAAGCAGACCAACTCATTCCAAATGCCCGAGGAGTTTGCCGCAGTCCCGCAACAGTCGTCGCATTCTTCTCCAACACCAGCTTGTATCAGCGCTCCCCCGGCCATCGCGCTCCCGACGACATCTGGCACCAACGCCTCGGTCACCCTGCAAACAGTACAGTTCTACAAACAATCCAAGCTGGAGTATTAGAAAAGGACGCTCTCCTCACAACGAGCGGACAAGAGCTTCGACGACCTCACGCCAGATGCTTCACGTGTCCTGAAGCCAATCTTCCACACCAACCCTTTCCGTCGCATCACAATCCAAGTGCACCTGCATACGCACCGATGGAAAAAGTTTACAGCGACATCTTAAATATGTCGCGAGACGACAGTGAAGCAGACTTCAACTATGTCATCACGTTCATCGACGTAGCAACAAGATACGTCTGGCACTACAACCTCAAGACACGCGATCAAGCGTTCGAAGCCTTCACGACGTGGCTCCCCATCGTTGAACGAGAATCACGAACTCAACTCAAGAGCTTCCAGTCAGACGGCGCACTGGAATACCAGTCACAACGATTCAGGAACTACTCGGCGGAAAGAGGAATCAGACGCCTGGTGTCTCTGCCCTACGCTCACCAGCAGCAGGGGGTCGCAGAAAGAATGAACCAGACCTTGGAGACGATGATGCGGAAGCTGCTCCTGGGGTTGAGACTGCCCAACACGCTTTGGCCTGACGCGATGACCCATGCAGTTCACCTGCACAATTTGTTGTCCTCGTCATCACTTCCCAACAACGCATCATCGCACATGCTATGGACGGGAAAACAGGGCAGCACAAAATTACTTCGAGTCTTCGGCTGTATGGTACAGTACAAACCCCACACAGCACGCGCAAGACGATTCTCTCAACGAGCACGATGGGGACTACACCTCGGCATCGCAAAACATTTCCAAGCATGGAAACTTCTCGACATACAAGACAAAAACACCATGGCTTCACGTGATGTGATTTTCTATGAACGACTGACGCTGCAACATTACCTGGACAACATTGCAAACACAGAAGACCCCGCGAATGGTTTCGAGGGCCTTTGGTCCTTCGCCGACCGTGCTGCCGAGGCTGACGCAACAGAAGAAGACGTACCTAGAGCTTCGGAAGCTGCCGGACCACTCCCTTACTGTTCCGTGCCTGTTCCACTCAACGACGACAATCCCCTCGATAGTAACAGCCTCGACACCCATTACCACTTCGCTGACCAAGGTTACGTTACACCTCAACCTGTCGACACGAATGTCTCAGAACGCATCGGCCCAAACTTCTTACCTGATCCAGAAGATGGTGACGAAGCAGCCTATTCCGGGAATGAAAATTCCCCTCGACACACACCCACGGGCCTGCACATACTTGGATTATGGGTCTCCGTCCAGCACCCACCGCCGCCATCTCCGCGCGAGCCAACGACTCTGTCGCAGGCTCTGGGGGGGAACATAAGGCGAAATGGAAGGAGGCAATGGAAAAGGAACTGAAAGCTCTGCAAGACCGAAATACATGGAAGCTGGTACCTGCAACAAACATCAACGGCAAGAACGTACTCTCGGGAAAATGGGTGTACCGCATCAAGACTAATGCGGATGGCTCCATCGAACGATTCAAGGCTCGCTGGGTCGTACGAGGATTCGATCAACGATACAGAACCGACTACACAAAAACATTCGCCCTAGTCTCCCGTCACACCTCCTTGCGCATTTTACTCGCCGTCGCGGCCACAAAGAAACTACTACTGCGCCAGATCGACGTCGCAAACGCCTTCCTGTACGCACCTGTGGACGCCGAGATCTTCGTCGAGCAGCCCCACGGATTCATCGACGACCCCACAAAAGTATGCCAGTTGATAAAATCCCTCTACGGGATCAAGCAAGCTCCACGGCTTTGGCAGGAGCATCTTCACGGCCGCCTCGTCAAAATCGGGTTCCTACAGCTGCCGCACGACCAAGGCATGTACCGACTACAGAAGGAAAAGGGTTTTATCCTACTCATCGTCTACGTCGACGACCTGCTCTACATCGGCTCCACTACCGACATCGCCACCTGGTTCGAAGGGGAGCTGAGAAGTGACTTGACACTCACGGTGTCTGACACTGTGACCCAGTACCTGGGTATGAACGTCGTCGAAGACAACTCGGCGTTCTACCTACACGCTGGAAAGTACGCAGGCGTTGTCGCGAAGAAATTCGGACTAACGCCGTCTACAGTCACGACTCCCTACCGCTACGGGAACAATAACGACACCTCCGCAAAACTCCCCGCGAAGCAAATCCAGGAGTATCAGCAGAAGCTCGGCTGCCTACTTTTCGCAGCAGTAACTTGCCGACCGGACTTATCTTACAGCGCGAGCCAACTGGCGACACATCTGAAGCAGCCGGAAGAAGAAGATCTCGAGGAACTAAATCGGGCACTACTCTACTTCGTCTCAACGCCGACGACCAGACTTACCTACATTAAAGCAACGACATCGTCCGTACAACTACTCGGATACGTCGACGCCGACCACGCGGGAGACAGGGAAAATCGACGCTCAAGGACGGGCTACATCTACCGACTTGAGCCTATTGGGACTATCTCCTGGCAGTCGAGCAAACAGGAACTAATCGCACTATCTTCGGCTGAAGCAGAATATATCGCCCTCTACACTACGACCAAGGAAGAACTTTACCTGCGAGAGTTACTCGAGGAAGCAAAGATTGCAACCCTGCTCGTCTTCTCACTCTTCTGCGACAACCAATCTGCGATCAAAATCGCGAACAAGGACGGTTTCGCCAACCGAACCAAGCACATCGCCCTGCGGTATTTCTTCGTCAAAGATGAAATCGCGAAGGGGAGACTTCAACTCAGTTATTGCCCCACGACAGAAATGGCTGCAGACTACCTGATGAAGAAACTGGCGAAAGCAAAGTTCGATTACTGCATGCTACTGACCGGGCAGATAAACGTCACCGAATCCGGACACGGCAGCACTGTAGAAACGAAGGGGAGTGTTGGAAATATCTCGAAGACTTGAGCGTTTCTGAAGTGTAACACCACGCTCGAGGAAGATCGTAACGGGTACGCGAGTCAACGGAGGTTACACGAGGGGGTCGACAAAGAACACGAAAGGACTCGAAGGGTCGCAACCGGAAGTTGCGACTAATCGTTACAACTGCAAGGATGGTAACCGAAGCGACAATCGAGTCGCTGTGCGACTCGATAACTGCTCTTTCAACTGTATTCTACAACTGCTTTACTTTCCTACTTTCTATATATTGCTGTATGCTTGTTCTTTTTAATCAATCACTTGCTCTCACATACTAGTGCAAGGGTTCAACTACTCAACTTCCGCTGCACTACTCAAGTCTCCTTTTACAACTGGGACTTAGTCTCTGAAAGATCCTAAGGGCTTTTTATCAGCCCAACATGATCAGAGTCACTGCTTGCCCTATTCCTGCCTGCACCCACTAAAATATGCCCTCCCTGATTGTTCACTTGAGCATTCACTTGAGCTTTCACCTGAGCCTTCACCTGAGCCTTCACCCGGGTCTCCATTACATCAGTGACACAAGCAGTGTGCCGACGATTGAGACCCCTGCCACCACCTGTGTCTTCCAGCCCTGCTCTTGTTCCGTCACGGCCAATCATAGGACCAGCTATAGCGGCGACAGCAGCCCTAGCAGCAGCCGTGAGTGTGTGTCTGGAGACAGGCAGAGATGCGGAGCCTTGCGGAGTGTATGAGAGGGGAAGAGATGAGGCAGCAGGATAAGAGGCAGCAGGTGATGGGACCGGTCTGGAGACAGGCAGAGACGCACTGCGAATGCAGATTTCTTCACCATCGGCGAATTCCTTTCTTCTGAAGCTCATGCCAACGGCTGATTGCAGAGTTGGTCCAGCTGATGCAGCAGCTGCAGAGAAAGGGGCAGCTGTAGCAGCTACAGCAGCACGGGCAGCTGCTGCTAGAGGCCTGGAGACAGGCGGAGATGCCCTGCGGGTTTCTGAATCTGCTGCAGCTGTTGCAGCAGGGGCTGCTGCTGTTAGAGCTGGTCTAGAGGTGGGCAGAGAGGAGGAGCCACGTGGGGTGTAAGAGGTAGGAAGAGAGGAGGCAGCAGGAGCAGGGGCAGCAGGAGAAGAGGTGCAAGGAGCACAGGGAGCAGTAGCACAGGGACTTGGGGGTGGATGAACAAGGAGATTGCCAAAGGGAGAAGGGCGGGGGCAGGGGCTGCATAAGGGAGGGACACGGGGGCTATGTGTAGGACTGCCTTCTGGGCTCCGTTGAAGCAGAGGGGTGAGGCGTTCTCGTGCACCATTAGTCCCAACTGTACTGACACGCGGACTCACTGCCATGCTCACACGTGGACTCACTGCCATGCTGACACTTGGACTCACTGCCATGCTGACACGTGGACTCACTGCCATGCTGCCATGTGGACTCACTGCCATGCTGCCATGTGGACTCACTGCCATGCTGACACGCGGACTCCCTGTCATGCTGACACGTGGGCTCCCTGCCATGCTGACACGTGGACTCACTGCCATGCTGCCACGTGGACTCATGGCCCCACTGCCACGTGGACCAACTCCAGGGCTGCCACCTAAGCCTGCATCTGACGTACCCACTCCCTCTTCCTCTTCGCTTCTTTCCTTCCTTAGCAACCTGTCCCCGTCTCTCTCCCCACTCCCGTATCCGTCTGCCCCGTTGTCGATTCCCCATCCACCACCCCAATCTTTACCACTACTGCTGCTCCCGCTACTCCTGCTGCTACCACCCCAATCCCTACAGCCCTCAAGCCCCATTCTCTCACTTCTACTCCCACTGCTTCTCTGGCTCCAGTTACTCCCACTCCATCTGAGCCTTTGGTCCCCACCGCTCCCACTGCTGCTCTGGCCCCCGTTACTCCCACTCCGTCGGTCCCTTCCGCCCCCACCACTCCCACTCCTTCGGAGCACCCCTGCTGCCTGCTGCTGCTGCTGCTGCTTCTGCTGCAGCTGACCAGTCGGATTCCCGACTGCAGCTGCTGCTGTTCCCACCTTGGGAGGCTTCATCTGGGGAAGGTAGAGCCTGGCGCTTTGGCTGGCAGACGTCATGCCATGCACACCTGCAAGTCGAGGCACTGTGACTCTGGGTCGTCGTCTCGTGCGCTCCCTCATGACTGAAATGCTGTCTGCATGAGGGAATGGACGCACAGGCATGTCTGCGTCCTCCCCCTCTTCCTCCTCCCCCTCTTCCTCCTCTTCCTCCTCCCCCTCTTCCTCCTCTTCCTCCTCCCCCTCTTCCTCCTCCTCCTCTTCCTCCTCCTCCTCTTCCTCTTCCTCCTCTCCCTCCTCCTCTTCCTCGTCTTTGCCTACCTCCCTTCCCTCCCCTTCCTCCCCTTCCTCCTCTTCTCCCGCCTTCTGCTGTCTCACCTCCCCTGACCCCCCCTGTTCCTCCTCTATCCTTTCCGATGCACCAGAGGAGTAGCTATTTGCCCGTGCATTCACCCCTCCAGCTGCCCGCTTCCTCCCTCCCCTCTCTACCCCTGGGATCACCCCCCTAAGCCGGGCAACTGAGAGGCTGTCCGAGTGCACAAACCGCCTTGCACGAGGGAGAGGAGGAGCAGGGGTGAAAGCGCCAGAAGTTTCACCTGAGAGTTCACCTGGTGTTGTGTTGGAGATGCCAGCTGTCCTCCTTTTAAGCCGACTCACTGGTAAGCTATCAGAATGCACCAGCCTACGTCGAAGACTAACCCCTTTCTTGCCTCCTCTAATCTCCTCCTCTCCCTCCTCCCCTTTCTCCTCCCTCACCCATTCCTTCACCTCTTCCTCTTCGGAACGCTCCCTCTCCCTCTGTTCACTTCCCTCTCCTCTCTCCCTTTCTTCTCCCATGACCTCCAGAACCGCCCTGCCCTCTCTTCCACTCATGCTTGAATTGCCACACTTCATGTCAACCTCCTGGAAATCCCTCCTGTTCGCTCCACCAGTCGGCCCATGCACGGCTGAAGTCTGCTTTTCAGTCGACTCAAAAGCATATTTCATGGCAACCTGCTGGCAAACCCTGCTCAATCCACCACTCGGCCCACGCACTGCTGAACTCTGCTGAGGCAACTCAGAAGCCGTCCCTGGAGTGTGATGTCTTCTAATCACTACACTATCCGCATGTACAAATCTGTGCATCCTCATACATTCCCTCGCATCCCCCTCTTCTTCCTCCTCTTCCTCCTCTCCTTCCCCTTCTTCCTCTTCCTCTTCCTCCTTGTCTCCCTTCCCTTGCTCGCCTGAACTCGTCCCTAGAGTGTGGTGCCTTCTTATCACTACACTATCCACATGTACAAACCTGTGTGAAGTGATCCCTTCACTCTCCTCCTCCTCCTCCTCCTCCTCCTCCTCTTCCTCCTCTTCCTCCTCTTCCTCTTGCTCCTCTTCTCCCTGCCCCTCGTCTTCGTCCTCCTCCCCCGCACGCCCTTCGCCTATTTCAGCCATCCTCCTTACAAGCTTCCCCGCTTTCTTCCGTCGTAGCAGCACGCTGTCTGATTGCACCAAGCCGCGAAACCCTAAAACCGCCGAGCCCGCTTCCACCTCTTCCCCTCTTTTCTCCCCTCCCTCCCCTTCCTCCTGCTCACACCCATTCCTCCCCACTCTCGTCCGTTGCAGCACCACGCTATCCGAGTGTGCTAAGCTGCGAAACCCTAAAACCGCCACTCGGCCTTCTTCCTCCTCTTCCCCCTCCTCTCCCCCCTCCTCGCCCCCCTCCTCTTCCGCCTCCTCTTCCGTCTCCTCTTCCCTTCCCTCCTCCAATTCCTCCCCAGCAACATCCCCTGTAACACCAAAATTCCGCACCTCTCCCCCCTCATCCTCCTCGATCCCTTTCCCCCATGCCCCTGATTCTGGCCATCCCTCCTCCTGCTCCTCTTTCCCGCCAACCCCAGTCCCCCACACTTCCAGCAATTTCCTTCGCCTGAGTACCACACTATCGGCATACCGCAACAGGGGAATAGACACCAACCCTTCCTCAGCCCCCCCCTCCTCCTCGCCCTCCCATTCCTCGTCCTCGTTCCACTCCCCGCCCCACTCCCCAACCCCCTCCCCTTTCCCCAGGCAGCATTTGCCGCCTTCCCCCTGCGCCCCTTCCCTCCTCGCTGCTTCCCCACTTCCCACCTCCGCAAAATCCTTATTCCCCCACCCCTCCCGCTGCTGCCCCTGTTCCGCTTCCCCCCATCTCTCCTCCCCCCCCCTGAATACAACTTCCCTCGAAGTTGACGGGGAATGGAAATCTGGGTTTTGAATAATAGATCTTCCCCATTCTCGCCACGACGCTGACGAATCCTTCGCCAGATTGTAACCGTTTCGCGAATTGTGTACACCGGCAGCGAAGCTCGCAAATCCAACATCGTCTCCACCCGCGGAAAACAATCGCCATTCCGAGGGTTGCGAAACGCGAGGCGACAGAAGATGAGAAAGCCGAGACGACGTAGTGGCGACGGGCGAAGGAGTGTGCGACATACCGCGTGGCGAAACCGCACTGGCGATATAAGGCGACAGCAATGGATGATTATTGTGAGGTACACGCGAGAAGTGCAAGTTATTACTAACGCCATTAGGGTTTCTGCTGCTGATATCCAAACTAGGGTTACTGCTGCTGCCGCTGCTGCCACTGCTGGCGCTGCTACTACTACTACCACTTCCGTTCCTGCCGTGAATTACGTTTATCGTGCGACTAGCTCCGCTAGCGCTGCTAGTCGTAGAATCACTGCTCCCAGCACTCGTGTTACAGCCAGTTAAGCCGTTTAACACAGGAGCAACAAAAACCTTATCCCTAGAGGCACAACCTCCGCTATTGCCGCCGCCGCCGCCGCTACTGCTGCTGGCAGTTAAGCCACTGCCAGCGAGGATCCCACCCGTACTATGATGCCTACTGTGCGATGCTAGATTCCTGTCAGAAGGAGGTCCAGGCGGCCCGGGAAGAACAGGCTGACGCGACGACTGTTGCGGCGACTGACGCGACGATGGATGCGGCGATTGATGCGGCGACTGATGCGACAATGTCAGCACCTGCGATGGCGACGCTAGTAGCGTCGCCGGCGACGGCGACGGCGACTGCGATTGGGGAAGACGCGATTGGTTTCGAGGCGTCGCATAACCCGATGCCTGGGGAGGCTGATTTTGCCGCCCAAATATTTGGATTTCGTGCGACGTTTCGGTGAAGGTTCCAGGAATTTGCACCAGAGGAGCAGTCACTCCTGTCTCGAAGCTTCCGCCACCCTTCCTCATGCTGCTGACGATGCCACGTAGGTCTGCACTGCCGCTTCGCCGTACGCGCGTGGGACGTTCCTGACCGTTGATCTTGCTGATGCTCGCCGTTTCCCCAGCCGCTCCCATCCCCAAGCGGGTTCCGCCGCGGCCGCCCCAGTTTCCCCCGCCCCCTCCCCCGGTACCTCCGCCGTTGCTTACGAGCCGCGCAGTTTGCGCAAAGCATGGGGCTTGAGCGGGGGAATCCAGCGGTTGGGCGGCGTAAGGGGCGGCATCGAGTCGCGAAAGCGAGCGCGCGCGCAGGTGACCTGCGCGCTGTTCCGTCTCCGCGGGCTGCGCGGCTTGCGCCGTTGCTGCTCGCGGAGGCGCTGCTTGCGCCGTTCCCCCTTGTGCGTGCGGTTGCGGATGTGTCTGCGCAGCGTGCGCGCGCCCACGAGTCGACTCCCGCTTTTCCCCCCATTGAGAGTGGTCGGACGTCCTCGTGAGGGGACTATTGCAAGCGCTCGAACCGCGACTATCCGTACTTAATCTACTATCTGTCCCCTGACGGCAATCGGCTCCTAAGTTGCTCGGTGCGGGATGAAAACCGCGACGCGGGGGAAGGCCTCTGGGTGTAGACGACGCGCTGCCGTTGCGGCTTCCCGCGCAGCTTCGTGGGCTGCTTCCGACGCTGCTTCCTCCGCCGCCGCTGACGCAAATTCCACGAGGTGACGTCAGCGGGCTACGCTGCTGACTCGGCGGCGGTTGTCGACGTGGCAACTGCTGCGAGTCCATGGTGTGGCGACGCGTGGCCCGTAGGTGCGGCGCCGCGTCGAGGGAGTGGCGGCGCGCGTGCTGCGCGGGGAGGCTCAGGTGTGATTGTAACGAGGCCCGCTGTGACGAGTCCCCCTGCGATATCACCTGCAGTTGACGGTTTACAGCTACAACTAGAGGTGTTCCAGCCGACCCATCAATCATCGTCCCCGTGCGATCCCTGCTAGTAGTAGGGAGAGTACTAGTTCTAGAACTGCCGCCGCCACGGGCGGCGCTGCTGCTGCCGCTGATGCCCATTGATCTATGCATGTGGCTCTCAGGGCTGTCCCCCTCGTTAGAGCAAGCCGTTACCCTGCTATACTCTACTTCCGACATACTCACGCGCCTCCGCTGCGCCGGGGCCATTCGTGTTCCCTCGCGCCACACCAGGCTGCTGCTACTCGCGCCCGTGAACGAGCCTGATGATCGAGGCGATGCCACGCTGGAGCCACGGGGTGATGCCGAGCCTGAGCCCCTCGCTGCTGCCGAACCTAAGCCCCTCGGTGTTGCCGAACCTGCGCCGCTCGGTATTGGCGAGCCTGCACCCCTCGGTGTTGCCGAACCTGAGCCCCTCGGTGTTAACGAATCTGAACCCTTTGGTGTCACCGGGCCTAGCAAACACTCCGACAAGCTGCCATCTCCCTCCCAACCGCGTCCCGAGGGTCCGCGGTCGTGCTGCATCAAACCAGGCTCCGGTGAGCTTCCATCATCTCCCTCCCAACCGCGTCCCGAGCATCCGCGGTCTTGCTGCATCATCATCCGACGCGGGGAGCGCGAGCCAGCAGCAGCCTCATGCACACCTTCCGATGCGCTGCCATCTCCCTTCCAACCGCGTCCCGAGCCTCGGTGGTCGTGCTGCTGCATCATCCAACGCGGGGAGCGGGAGCAAGCAGCAGCCTCATGCAATCTCTCCCCGTGGCGCGTTGCCATGCCAGACGGAGCCTGATTGCCCATCTCATCATGCAGGTACGAGTCATACAAGTCCCCACAATCATTTAACTCCGTTTCGTTATAAGAGGAATGGCCCTGGGCCTGTGTTTCCGCGCTTGGTTGAGCATCAGAAACCCTACGAAGATTAATTTGTACATCGGGTATCGTCAGGGCAGGAATCCGAGAGCTCGGCAGTTCTACGTTACTAGGCGCCCTTAGTTCGGCCATGCTGGACCCGACGGCCCTATAATTGTTGCAGGTGCACCATGGGGGGTAGCAGAGGGGAGAGAACCAAGAAAATAGCTGTGCTGTCTAACTTGAACTTGGATATTTACTTTCTGTTCTTGAACTGGATAGTAGAAGCCATGCTCCAGCGATCAGATTGAGACGATACGAGGAAGTCCAGAGTCCAGACGGGACGGGACGGGACGGGACGGGACGATACGAGACGAGACGAGACGAGACGAGACGAGAGAGCAGGCATGTCTTTGTTCAAGACTGGCGACTGGCTAGAACGTTATGGGGAACGTTATGGAGGAGGATGCGGCAATGGGAATCTATCCATAGTGCTGTACTGTGCAGCAGTGCTGTGCATCGTGTTTCACAAAGCCATTCCGCGACGCACCCTGCCGGGGGGGGCTCGTAAATCTCACACCTGAAGATACAGGCTCGCGTCGCGTGGTGGCGAGAATCAAACTGTGCAGTACTGCGCTGTACAGTGCAGTGTATCACAGGGAGGCAGGCAGACCAAGCAATGAGCAAGCAGTTGTTGGTTGCCATTGCGGGGGAGAAAACAGAAATTTGCGAGGCCCTCATGAATGGTTTTGCCATGTGTGCTGTGCAAGCCCACTGGAGAATGGGCCCTGCTGGGGCAAGCCCAAGGGTCTTGCAGAGCGAGCTGCATGACAGCCTCAGGTCAGGTGCAAGGAATGACACACGCAAGCAATCCCTTCAATCCGAGGGCGTAGCGTCACTGGTGTGGCGGCGAGGTGATGTGGAGGAGCCATCACGGATTCGCGGTGCGGCATGGCGGTGGAATAATGAAACACAGGCCGCCTCGAGCCGTGTTGACTGCAGGCCTGAGGCATGGGTTGCCAATTTCACCGCCCTCTGCTGCTGTTCATAAGCAACGGGCAGAAAAAACATTTGCTTCGCAATTTTTAACTCGCTTATCCCCCAGCAGCGAATGTTTTCGGGCAAAAAGCTTCCAGTCAGAGGCCTGTGGGATGGTTTGGGCAGCCCAGCCGGATGTTTCAACCGCGTTCCAGAATCTTTTGGAGTCAATGAGAAACGTGTTCTGCTGCTGCGTGGCCGTGAACAGTTCCTTGTGCAATCATGCTCCTCGTTATGTGCAATGGCTGAGCAAACAAGAATCCATCACGGGAAATAATGCATTTGTTAGATATTACAAACTTACTCAAAGGAGTGCCACATAAGGGGGTGCATTACGTACTCTAGTAGGCTTTCAAATCTTTAAATAAAAACAGGAAATCTTTTGTTTTTTAGGTTCCCATTTATGTTGTAGAACAAGTGGTGTGTCATGGATCATGCTCTTGAGGACGAGACGTAGTGCAGCAGGCGCCACTGCGTTGCTGGGTTCTGACGGACATGGAGAAACGGATTGACAGGTGAGGAAAATATGAGACGGTAATGTGATGCCATGCAAAGAGGACAAGAAGTGCACTAGATGCCTCTGCGTTGCTGGGCACTGTCGGTGCATTCCTGCGAACCGGGCTCAGGATAAGACTCGGGCGGTACTGTGCGGTGAGCGTGTTGGAATCGCGTTTCAGTGCTATTCATTTTGGTACCGTTCAAGTCTGATCCTGATCCCGGTATGTAGGAATACGCCCTGAGTTGCTGGGCACTGCATTGCTGGGCCCCGACAAACACCAAGGGACTGGAAGGAGAGGGATAGAGAGCGCATATTCCGAGTTGCCTCGACAGCTACTGAGATGCTGGGCTCTTTTAGACACCAAACGGGGGGAGAAAAGAAGACAGAAGCTGGAGAAAAAAGTGAAGGGTTGACAAAAAACAGGGAACAGAGCAGCAGAGGCCTAAATCCCTATCCCTTGGGGAGTGATTCCGTACCCTAGAGCAACAAAGAGGGACGGACCACCCTTGGCTGCTGAGTTGCTTCGTGAATTCAAGCACGAGTCGAATCATTGGACATGTAGGCCGCAGTGGGCTACAGTGGGCTGCAAGTAGGCGGTGGTGGGCTGTGGTGTGGTGGGCTGCAGTGCTCGCGAAAAAAAGCCTTTGGTACTGTGCTGAGTAGGTTTTTAGAATTCTGAAAAACCAACTCGACTCATTTTCAAAAACCACCTGAGAAGTTAGAACTCTCAGAAACCAACTCAAGCAAGCATCGGATTATTGGACATGTAGGCTGCAGTAGTCACAACATACATGTAGCCCTTTCTTTGCTACTGCACTCACCAGGTCATCCAAGTCTACAGTGAAATCGTACTCCCTTCCTCTCCGCGCACCGCGCCCCGCTCGTGTTGCTCCTCTACCCACTCCTCCCACTCTCACTGCTTCTCCACCCACTACTCCCGCTCTCACTGCTTCGCCAGCCGTCCCTGCTTGGCCTCCCCTCTCGCTCCCCTCTGCTTGTGCTGCTGGAGCTACACCTGCTGCCACTGCTTCTCCTGTTGCTCCTCCTGGTGGTGGGGGTGCTGCTGCTCCTGCTGCTGCTTCTTGTTTGGCTTTCGCTCCGTTGCTTCCTCTCGAACCATCACCAAACTTGCTGCCATTCACGGCCCCTCCTTCTCCCACGCCCCTGTGAACAGTATCACTGCCATGAACAGTAGCACTGCCATGAACAGTAGCACTTCCCTGAACAGTAGCACTGCCATGAACAGTAGCACTGCCATGAACAGTATTATTGCCACCTGCTGCACCCTCGTGAGGCTCCCCTTTGAGCCCACCCATAAGCACCGCATCACCCACCCCTCCAATACTTGCATCACCTGACACCTGCCCATCCCTCCTCTCCTGCTCACTCTCCCTTTCGCTCTCCTCCCTCTCTCGCCCACTCTTCTCCTCCTCCCTCTCTCTCTCCCTATCCTCCTCCCTCACTCGCTCCCTCTCCTCCTGCTCCTCTATTATACCCAGCAGTCTTGACATGGCGTTGGGCTTTAAGCGCCGCATGCCCCTGCCCAGTCGCCGAATCTCCTCCACAGTCATAGGGCTGAGGGGGGGGAAGGAGGAGGGGGGTAGCATGGTGCAGGGGACTCATGGCGTTGGGCTTTAAGCACCGCATGCCCCTGCCCAGTCGCCTTATCTCTTCCACCGACATGGGGCTGGCGGATGGGGGGAAGAAAAGGGGGAGGAGAGAACATGGCGTTGGGCTTTAAACGCCGCATGCCCCTGCCCAGTCACCTGATCTTTTCCACCAACATGGGGCTGGGGGAGGGGGGGAAGACGGAAATGCAGTGACGTCACTGTTAGACAGGGGTCACACTCACACCGGCAGAGAAGCGAGATGGAGTCTCCTTGGTGATCGCCAACTGATGACCCACAGGGGATGTGTTGACCAGAGAGGGCCGGAGGCATCTCTTGAGCCGAGCTTTTGAGTCGACTCAAAAACCGCGTGTAATGAGTCTGCTTTTGAGTCGACTTTTGAGTCTGCTTTTGAGTCGACTCAAAAGTAAGGGGCATCTCATCATCCCACTGGGTGATGGAGTCTCTAGGCGAAACACCAAGTGATGATCCACAGGGGATGTGTTGAGCAGAGAGGGGCGGAGGCGTCTCCTGAACCTGAACTTAGTGAGGGCCATCTCATCATCCCAAGGCAGAGAGGGGCCCTCTCACCGGCAGAGAGGGGGTCTCACCGGCAAAGGGGGGCGATGGAGTCGCGTGAATCTAGAGCCTTTCACTGCAATGGCAAAGATGCAGTCTCACCGGCAGAGGGGGGCGATGGAGTCGCGCAGTTCCACCAGCTGATGGTCCACGTGAGACGACCAGAGAGAGGTGATGGAGCCTCATGAATACCCCGGGGTGGGGTGGGGGGGAGGGGGAGTGGGGGGGAGTGGTGCTCGGATGATGTCTGAATCTAGTGCATCTCATTGTCTCACCGGCAGAGGGGGGCGATGGGGTCTCGCAGTTCCACCAGCTGATGGTCCACTCCACATGGGACGACCAGAGACGGGCACTGGCGTCTCTTGACTCTAATTTATTTCATCTCACCGGCAAACATGGGGTCTCACCGGCAGAGGGGGGCGATGGAGTCTCGCAGTTCCCCCAGCTGATGGTCCACATGCGATGTCTGTGTTTCGAAGAAAGGAAATCGGAAGCCAGGTGCGGGAGGATGGGGGATGAGGATAGGGGATGAGGATAGGGGATGAGGATAGGGGATGAGGATAGGGGATGAGGATTGGGGATGAGGATTGGGGGATGAGGATTGGGGGATGAGGATTGGGGGATGAGGATTGGGGGATGAGGATTGGGGGACGTTTTGGGGGGATGCAACTGCTGAGAGGGTTGGGGATGGGGCTCAAGTCCTTCCTTGTGAGAGATTTTCTATTTTTGAGGCGCCTCAAAAATTGTCGAAGTCCTTTTTTTCTTGTGCGGATGGGGAGGGGATCGAGTCCTTGTGAGAGCTTTTCGAGAATTCTATCTGCCACGATATTTTTTGAGTTTTTCACAAGGTCTGCACTGCAACTGCTGAGGGAATCGGGGATGGGGTGGGTGGGGGTTGCTATCTGCTGATCCCGCCTTGCCTCTGCTGATCCCGCCTTGCCTCTGCTGATCCCGCCTTGCCTTGCCTCTACCTCTTGTCCCCCACCCTCCCCTTGGCTGCAATCCACCGCCCTCCCCTCCCCTCACCTCGGCTGCTATCTGCCATGCACGGGCATCCATCGCTGCCTCTTCAGCTTCCCCCTTCCCCTCAAGCCTGATAAAACACCCCCCCTGATCTCACTACCACTTGACACTCATACCACCACTCCCCTTACCTCTACCTGCCATTCAAATTGCCTCTTCCCCTCCCTTCCCTCCCCTCACCTCTGCTGCTATCTGCTGTGCGCGGGCATCCATCGCTGCTTCCTCTGCTTCCCCTGTCATTCGACACTCATATCACTCCCCTTACCTCTACCTGCCATTCAAATTGCCTCTCCCCCTCCCTTCCCTCCCCTCACCTCGGCTGCTATCTGCCGTGCGCGGGCATCCATCGCCGCTTCCTCTGCTTCCCCCTTCACTCGAGCCTCAAACGCCTTCAGCTGCTCGTCCTCCGTGTGGCGGCGCTTGTCCTGACATGGGTGAAGGGGCAGTTTTCATAGCCTAAGCATATATGTATATGTATATGTATGATTATATGATTATATATCTGTTCTTTTAAGCCCCCAAAAGCCTACAGCTGCTCGTCTTGTGTGTGGCGGCGCTTGTCCTGACATGGGGGCATCAAAGAAAGGGTAAAAAGGCTACCACCATACATATCTCCGGAACTTCTCTACATGGTTGCGGAGATAAATACTCTTAAGAAGAAAGAGTAATTAGGCTACTAATCTTTGGAACTTCCCTATGCGTTGTCGCAGAGATAAATACTCTCAAGAAGGAAGTGTAAAAAGGCTACCACCATACATATCTTTGGACTTCCCTACACTGTTGCAGAGATAAAGACTCTCAACAAGAACCAAGGCAGCGGAGGATCACAACCACAACTCCCCGAAAAGTCCACCAATGTGTTTAGAACTTGCCCCTTGCCCCCATGCCCTTATCCGTCGCCTCCTCTTGCAGCCGTGGCATCATCACAGCTTGCCACTTCTCTACACTCCAACGCACATAGCTACCATGCCCCCACCATACACCCCCATGCCCCCACCATACACCACCATTCCCCCATGCCCCCCATCCCTCACCTCCTCTACCAGCCGTGGCATCATCACAGCTTGCCACTTCTCCTCGAATCGATCTGCAAGAGCCTGAGCCATGAGATAGACCTGACATGTGCACATGCCATGTTTATATGCCACGTGTACATGCCATGCGTACATGCCATGTGTACATGCCACGTGTACATGCCATGCGTACATGCCATGTGTGGTTGGAAGTTCGGCACAAGTAAGAGTCATGCACGACTCTTGACTTGAAGTGCCTCAAACATGGCATGGTGGTTGGCATGTGCACGGCATGTCGATGGCATGTGCAAGGCATGTCGATGGCACGTGGATGGCATGTGGATGGCATGTGGATGGCACATGGATGGCACGTGGATGGCATGCAAATGGTATGTGGCTCAATACCTCGCTTCCCCTTTTTTCGCACATGCCTGGTCCATTGTTCTTCATTGCATGGGCAAACACCAGCCGCACGCCCCTCGCCACATCACTTCACTCCCCCATGGCCTCACCTCCTCAACACGCCTGTTGTCTCTCCTGACGCCATACCCCTCCTCACCTCAGACCCCTGTCCGTTGTACTTCATCGCATTGGCAAACACCAGCCGCACATCCCTCGCCACCTCGCTCACGTGACTATAATGAGGGGGGCTCAAACCACCACTACCACCAGCAGCAGCATCAACAGCAGCTGTATGTGTCTCGCCACCAGGAGCGCCAGCTGTAACTGCTGCTGCTGCTGCTGCTGCTGCTTCTTCCCCTCCTTCCCCCACACCCCCTCCTCCTCCCCCTGCCCCTGTTGCTAAAGCACCTGCTGCTAACCCCCCTGCCCCTGTTGCTACAGCACCTTCTGCTAGCCCCCCTGCCCCTGCTGCAGCACCACCTGCTGCTGCTTTTGCCTCTCCTCCCCCTTTTTCCTCGCCTGCCTTGTCAGCCCGCGTGGCAGCCAGCGATTGGACGAGCCAAGAGCGAATGCTGCCCAGATCCATTGGCTCACTGATGATCTGATGGTAGTCGGGCAGCCCTAAACTTTCCGCGTCCACTGGCTCGGCAAAGACCCACCCAAACCTGTGCTTGAGTAACTGTTTGGAAGCGAAGGGGATGAGGGACAAGACAGACATAGGAGCAGAGCCACACATACCCAGTGATTGATGGGCTGGCCTCGCTGCTGACCTGATGATCTTACGGTATAGAGGGGGGAGAAGAGAGGAGGAGGGGGAGGGAACAGGGGAGGGATAGGAGCAAAGCCACACAGGTGACAAATCCAGTGATTGATGGGTTGGCCTCGCTGCTGACCTGATGATCTTATGGTAGGGAGGGGGGAGAGGAGAGGTGGAGAAGCAAGGGATGGGGGAGGGACAGGAGCACAGAAACAGAGGTCCATGGGTGGGCAGAGCAGGGCTCGCTGATGGTATGGTCTCTCATCTTGGTCGGGCAGCCCTAAACTTTCTGCGACTACTACAGTAACCTGTGAGGTGAGGGCATTGAGGGGCGATCGCCGGTTGGGACAATGAGCAAGGCCTTTAATCAATCAAAGAGATGTGGAGTGGAGCAAGGTCTGTCCAAAACCTCCTCTCACCACTTCCCATCCCTCTCCATCCCTCGCCAGCCATTCATCACCACCTCTCACCTGCTTCACAATGCTGCCTGCTCGTTGCAGCATATCAGCCATTCTCTTTGCCCTGTCGCCTACCCAGCACCACACAACACCACATCGCACCGCATAGCACCGCTCACCTGCTTAACAATGCTGCCCGCTCGTTGCAGCATATCAGCCATTCTTTTTGCCCTTATCCTCAACATCCTTCCCCTTTCCTCCCCCACTGCCCGCTTCACTCCCCACATCCCCAGAACCCTCAGCCCCACTCCCCCCACCCCACTGATCCCCTGCCAACCCCAAGCACCACGTACAACCAGAGACCACCGCATAGCACCACATACCACCGCAGAGCACCCCTCACCTGCTTCACTATGTTGCCTGCTCGTTGCAGCATATCAGCCATTCTCTTTGCCCTTATCCTCAACATCCGCCCCCTTTCCTCCCCCACTGCCCGCTTCACTCCCCCCATCCCCAGTCCCCCCAGCCCCACTCCCCCGGCTATTCCCCCCCCTCCCCCTGCGGCTGCTGCTGCAATAACAGCGTCCATATGCTGCTCGTGTGCCTGCTGCTGCTGCTGCTGCTCGTTGTTCTGATGGTTTTGCTGCTGCTGCTGCTCGTTGTTCTGATGGTTTTGCTGCTGCTGCTGCTTTTGCGTGCGTTCTTGCGTGTGCTGCTGCTGTTGCTGCTGTGGCTGGTGCTGGCGTTGGTGCTGGTGTTGGTGTTGCTGGTGCTGGTGGTGATGACCCTGCTGCTGCTCCTTCCCTCCCCCTCCCCTGCCTCTCCTCCGCACGTCCCTTAGCTGATTCAGCGCCGCTGATTGCCGCTCCAACTGTAAGGGAAGAATTAGGGGGGGGGGTCAGTGGGGTTGTAGGGGGAAATGGGCCAGTTTTGGCAGGCATAAGTGCCTGGCTCAAATCCCCCTCCCCTGCCTCTCCTCCGCACGTCCCTTAGCTGATTCACTGCCGCTGATTGCCTCTCCAACTGTCAGGGGAGAATTAGTGGGGGGTTGCAGGGTTTAAGGGGGAGGTTGGTGTCCCGATACATCCATCGCTTAAACCCCAGTCCCCTGCCTCTCGTCCGCACGCCCCTTAGCGGATCCAGAGCCGCTGCTTGCCTCTCCAGCTGCAAGGGGAGAGTAAGGGGCGGTGAGGGGTTTTCCAAGGGTTTAGGATAAAGGTTAGGCGTCTCAACACATCCATCACCCCTCTCTCCGTCCGTCCCTCGCCTCTCGTCCGCACGCCCCTTAGCGGATCCAGAGCCGCTGCTTGCCTCTCCAGCTGCAAGGTCCGGGAGGCGGGGGGAGAGAAGGGGGGGGGGGGGGGGTGGGAGTGGAGGGAGAAGATGGGGGGAAGATCAGGGGGTGGTGGGGAAGGGAGTTGAGGATGAAGTTTTGCACAAAGGAGGGGTGGGAGGAGAGGAGGTACAAGTGCTTAGGAGGAGGGGTGGGGGATGAGGGGTGGGAGGCGTGGGAGGGGTGGGAAGAGAGGAGGTACAAGTGCTTATGGGAAGCCGAGTCAGCGCTGCTGCTTGCCGCCTCACAGGGGAAAAAATGGAGAGAGAAACAACAGAGCAAGGGAAAGGGAGCGAGTGAGTGAGTGAGTGAGTGAGTGAGTGAGTGAGTGGATGAGTGAGTGGGTGAGTGAGTGAGTGGGTGAGTGGGTGAGTGAGGGACAGGACTCACGTCTTCCACCAGCGAGGTGAGTTGGTCTAACTTGCGCTTCAGCTCCCGCTTTGATTGCTGCTGCTCTAATGCGTGCTGCAATTGCTGCTGCTGCTGCTGCTCTAATGCGTGTTGGGATTGCTGCCGGTGCTGCTGCTGCTCGGATTGATGCTGCTGGTGGTGCTGGTGGTGGTTCTGCTGCTGCTGTTGCTGCTGCTGCTGCTGCTGCTGCTGCTGCTGCTGCTGCTGCTGCTGCTGCTGCTGCTGCTGCTGCTGCTGCTGCTGCTGCTGCTGCTGCTGCTGCTGCTGCTGCTGCTGCTGCTGCTGCTGCTGCTGCTGCTGCTGTGCTGCTGGCTGCTGCTGCTGCTGCTGCTGCTGCTGCTGCTGCTGCTGCTGCTGCTGCTGCTGCTGCTGCTGCTGCTGCTGCTGCTGCTGCTGCTGCTGCTGCTGCTGCTGCTGCTGCTGCTGCTGCTGCTGCTGCTGCTGCTGCTGCTGCTGCTGCTGCTGCTGCTGCTGCTGCTGCTGCTGCTGCTGCTGCTGCTGCTGCTGGAATGAAAGCTGCGGCAGGTGCTGGGATTGGCGCTGCTGCTGCATCTGATGCTGCTGGTGCAAGGCGTACTGTGACTGCTCCTGCTGATGCTGCAATTGATGCTGCGACCATTGCTGCTGCTGGTGTTGCTGATGCTGCTGATGCTGCTGCGGCGAGTAATGAGAATGGTATTGCGACTGGTGTTGCGACGAATAATGCGACAACGGCAACGGATGCTGCTGCGACTGCAACTGAATGTGCGACTGGTTGTGCGACTGGTTGTGCGACTGGTTATGCGACTGGTTATGCGACTGAATCTGCGACTGGTTACCACCATTCACACCTAGCCCTCCTCCCGACCCCCCTACTCTCCATTCCTCCACCCCGCCATGTCGTCCCACGCCTGTCCCGACGCCACGTGGCACGTGCTGCGTCGCGCCACGTGGCGCCGTCCGCTGAGCGGGCTGCGGCGCAAGGGGAGGGGCGGATGGGCCCGCGGGGGGGTTCGAGGGAGGCGCAGGGGGATGGGGGAGAGCGGGGGGACGGGGGAGCGGGGGTCCGGAGGCGTGCACAGGGGGAAGGTGCGTGGACGCGAAGCTGTGCGCGGAGGTGGGTGCGTGCGCGGAGAGGTGCGTGGGGGTGGAAGCATGCGCGGCGGCGGAGGGGTGCGGGGGTTGGTAGGCGGAGGAGACCCTTTGGCGCAAGTGGTGCGGGTTATGCACTAGCGGGCGCGGGGAGTTCGCAGGGAGGGTTTCCGCTTGATGGTGCGCGGGGAGCGGGCGAGCGGGATGCGGAAAGGGTATGCTACCCGCTTGATTATGCTCTGCCGTAAGCATACGGGAGTGAGGAGGGGGGACGTTACCAGCCGGACGTTGCGCCGCCATAATGAGAAAAGCGTCTCTAGCGACACATAATAGCAGATAATAGCTGAGGCTGGGTGCTCAGGTCGGGAGCTGTGTCACTAGGTAACTTCTTTTGGATAGTGTACTTCGCATGTTTCTGTCCCATGAAATCGAGCCTGAGGGCGTGTCTCATTTTCACGAACAGCTTCCGAGCCGAACAGTCACCAGAGTGTACCACGTCAAACTAACAAACTAAGTATACAGCGTAGTCCATCGCATCATAACGCTTTCAACCTTTATGAACAGTCTACCCTGAAAGGTGCTCGAAAAACATGTGACGCGCCCTAAAATGTAGGGTGTAGTAGTTCTGTAACCAGCACCTTTACAAAGCATAAACTCTGGTGTAATACGGTGCGTGAAGTTGTGGCTCGGTTGTATTGCTTCAGTTGAAAACCGGCGTGTCAGGCCGAAAAGTAACAACTTTGTGCGTTTTGTCATGCGTCGTCTGGATATCGCTAAGCCCTCGTGAACTGCGAAACTGGCGGAAGTCATGTTCCTCGAAATACTGTCCATCAGGCTTTCGCCAACGCTGTTCGCAAAAACTGCTTGTAAAGTGAAACCGACTGCAACTAGACTCTGAAACCTGCACTCCTATTTTAGCAACCCCGAACGGGGTTTAAGTTCAAAAACCGAGCCCAGTAAACCCTCTGCTGACGGACTGCTTTGCTGAAGGAAACCGGCGAAGCTAGCCACCTCTATTCACGAGCTATCAGAAACATATGCAGCACCGAAGCTGCGCACGTTAGCGAAGAAAAACGATCTCCGAATACGTCGGAGGCAGCGCAGCGTCCATGGCGGGCCCGATGGTGACGGCGCCAGTGTCCTTTTGAGTCGACTCGAAGCACGAAGTAGCCAATCCTTGCTCGACGCACCTGACTGATCTGAGCACACCAGAGCAGACCGAACCCGACCGAACCAGACCGAATCAGACTGGACGAGTTCAGATCTGGGAAGCAGCCATGGGTCCGATAGTGACGGCGCCAGTGTCCTTTTGAGTCGCACCTGACCAATCAGAGCACACCAGAGCAGACCGAACCAGACCGAACCGGACCGAACCATGGCGGGTCCGATGGGTCCGATGGGTCAGATGGGTCAGATGGGTCAGATGGGTCCGATGGTGACGGCGCCGGTGTCGCCGGACGAGGTGCTGCAGAAGATGATGCACGACGGCGTGTTCGACTCGCTTAAAAACCGGATCCTGCTCGACCTCAAGCATAATGTACGCGATATTGCAACTCTAGGGTGAAAATAGTGCTTGACGGCGTGTTCGACTCGCTCAATAATAGAATCCTGCTCGACCGCAAGCACAATGTACGCGATGTTGCAACTCTCGCTATTTGGTAGAGTTAGGGTAAGCATGATGCACGACGGCGTGTTCGACTCGCTCAAGAATAGAATCCCGCTCGACCTCAAGCATAACGTAAGAAGCTGTTCAGTTCAGGGTAAGTCGGTCATCGGGTGAGGTGACGCGCATGGCTTCGCCGGAGGAGGTGCTGCAGAAGATGATGCGCGATGGAGTGCTCGACTCGCTTTAGATTAGGATACTGCTCGACCTCAAGCATAATGTACGCGTTATTGACAGATTCTGTATTTCAGAATGAAGTTTAGGATAAGCATGATGCACGACGGCGTGTTCGACTAGCTCCAAGGCAAGATTCTGCCCGACTTAAGCGTGGAGTCCTTATCCGACTTAAGCGTGGAGTCCTTAAATTCATCCATGTGTTTGCGAGTACAGCAGCGCAAAGCAGGTGTGTTTTGAGTCGACTCAGAACACATTCTGCCCGACTTAAGCGTGGAGTCCTCATCCAGCTGTGTATTTACCAGTACACTGCAAAGCAGAGCACGTGCAGAGCAGCGAAACCCTATCAGCTCACGACACTCCCCCCTTCCTCCCCCCTGCTCCTCCTCCACCCCTTTTGTCTGAGACTGTACCAGGAGGAGCTATTCTAGTGCGTTGCAGTTGCGAGGCAGTGAACCCTACCCAACTCATCCTCCTCCCCCCCCCCTCCCCCTCTTCCCCCGTCGTCTCCCACCGCTTCCCTCCCCCCCACGTTCCGTGTGACTATAATAGGAGGAGCTGCGGCAGTACACAGCTAAGATGGTGCAGAGGAGAGCAGCGAAACTCTCAGCTCCCGACATCTCCCCCCACCCCACACCCCCCCCTCCCTCCCATTCTGTGTGAAGCTGTGGCAGTACACGGCAAAGCTGGCACAGAGCAGCGAAACCCTAGACGCTCCTCCCCCCCCCCTCCCTCCCCCCCACCGCTGCCTTTCTTATGTGACTATAACAGGAGGAGCTGCGGCAGTACACGGCAAAGCTGGTGCAGAGCAGCGAAACCCTGTCGGCACACGACGCTCGCACGCGCAACCGGCGGGAGCTGTTTGAAGCCCTGAGGAAGGAGCTGGAGTGAGTGAGAAAAGGGATTGGAGTGAGTGAGTGTGTAGTATAGTATGTATGCGAAGGGAGCTGTTCAAAGCACTGCGCAAGGAGCTGGAGTGAGTGCAAGGGGGCTAGAATGAGTAGGAAAGTCTGTGCAGGGGAGTGAAACCCTTATAGTAGAAAGAAACGAGGCTTACATCAGGCCCTGCAACCGGCGGGAGCTGTTCGAAGCGCTGAGGAAGGAGCTGGAGTGAGTGAGAAATGGGGTTGGAGTGAGGGAGGAAGGGGTTGGAATGAGTGAGTATGTAGTATGTATGCGAAGGGAGCTGTTTGAAGCCCTGCAGAAGGAGCTGGAGTGAGTGGAATTGTTCATGTGTATCCCACGCTAGTCTTATAGTAGAAACGGGTCACTGAGGAAGGCTTAAATCGGGCCCTGCAGCCCATGGGAGCTGTCTAAGCCCTGCGCAAGGAGCTGGAGTGAGTGAATTCGTTCTGAGTGTATCTGAAGCCTGGTCGTCTCGTATGATAGAAACCCCCCCAGTAGTGGTAGACCAAGTGTCTGGATTCGCATGGTCTGTCATGCTCTCGCCTCGCTCTGGGGGCGTGGGGGAGGGGGACCCCACCCTCAAGTCGAGGAGACCTTCTCTCATTCTTCTCTTGACCCTCTTCTCTATCCCCTGTGCCCTCTTCTCTATCCCCTGTGCCCTCTTCTCTATCCCCTGTGCCCTCTTCTCTATCCCCTGTGCCCTCTTCTCTATCCCCTGTGCCCTCTTCTCTATCCCCTGTGCCCTCTTCTCTACCCCCTTGTGCCCTCTTCTCTCCCGTGCGTAGGGCCCCGGTGGTGGACAAAGCGTCTGGGTTTGCATGGGAGCTCATGCTCTCGCCTCTCTCCGGGGTCATGCGGGAGGAGATCCACTCTCGATTCGAGGAGACCTTCTCTCGTTCTTCCCTTAACCCTCTTCTCTATGCTCCTATGCGGCATGCCCTCTTCTCTCCCATGTGCAGGGCCCCAGCGGTTGAAAAGTCGTCTGGTTTCGCGTGGGAGCTCATGGTCTCGCCTCTTGCAGGGGGCGTGGGTGAGGAGATCCACACTCGAGTCGAAGAGACCTTCCCTCGCCTCCACTCACTCTCCTCTCCACCCCCTGTGTGCTCTCGTGCGTGGGTGAAGAGATCCACACTCGAGTCGAAGAGACCTTCCCTCGCCTCCACTCACTCTCCTCTCTACCCCCTCTGTGCTCTCGCCTGTTCCCTCCTGCTGTGTATAGGGCCCCAGTGGTGGACAAAGCGTCTGGGTTCGCGTGGGAGCTCATGCTCTCGCCTCTTGCAGGGGGCGTGGGTGAGGAGATCCACACCCGAGTTGAAGAGACCTTCACTCGGCTCCACGCGGAGAAGGCAGCCAGTGACACGCTGACACGTGGCGGCAGCGTCGGCGCTGGCGGGAGTTTCGAGGATGCGGTTGTGGCGGCAGGAGAGGCAACGGGGGAGGCAGCGGCAGCAGCGGCAAGGGTGGCTGCAGCGTCGGGGTTTGGGCCGAGGAAAGGGGGGGGTGTTGCTGCTGCTGGTGGGGGAGCGGGGGGAGGGGAAGGGAAAGGGGGAGGAAGAGGGGAAGGGGGAGCGGGGGGAGGGGAAGGGCAATCGGATGGAGTGAGGGAGGGAGGGGGAGTGAGAGGGGTGGCTGGGGGGTTGAGAAGAGAAAGTGAGGGGGATTTGGGGGGCAAAGCTGGGGAGAGCGCAGATGGAGCTGGGACAGGGGGCCTTGTGGCCTCAGAAACGGTCAAGGTAGGCGTGTTGGATGAGGGGGCTTGTGGTGCTGAGCAGCCAACTCAGAAGCAGGCTGAGGGGCCGTATGGTGGGCCTGTGCTTCCAGGGGTTCGGTGCATGGCAGATGTCACTGGGGCTGATGCTGATGCTGATGCTGATGCTGCAGATGCTGCAGATGCTGCTGATGCTGCTGCTGCTGCTGCTGACACTGACGCTCATGGTGCTGCCGCTGGTAATGCTGCTGGTGCTGCAGCTGCTGCTGCTGGTGCTCGTGCTCGTGATGGGGATAGTTGTCGTCGTGATGCTCGTAGTGACAAGGACAACAAGGGCGATGGGGGTGATGGTGGCCGGAACCCTGCTAAGGAGAGCCGTGGGTTTCGAAGGGACAGGAGGGACGACGCGGGGGACGGGATGGAGGCGCGAGGGGCAGAGGGTAGGGGGGGCCATAGAAAAGATACTGATGGAAGTCCTCCTAGGAGAGGGCACTTGAGAGCGGATGACCCCCCAAGGAGGTCTAAGTTCTCTGACTATGCTCACAGGTGGGGGGATGGGGGGAGGGAAGGGGGGCGGGCGGGGGAATGGGGAGTGGGGGGGGAGAGGGGAGGAGAGGGGGGGTTGGAGCGGCGCAGTAGCAGGGATGGCCCGCCAGTAGTGCCTTCCTCTGCAGCAGCAGCAGCAGCAGCAGCAACAGCAGGAGCAGCCTTGGCTCCTGGTGCCAGCGCTTCCCGCTCTGGAGCCGGACTTGGGACAGGCCCGGGTGGTCCCGGGCCTGGAGGGTTCGGTCCAAACCTAGCGCCCTTTCATAGTCCGGGAGGGGCGCAAGCAGCAGTGGCAGCAGCAGCAGCAGTTGCGGCGGCGGCGGCAGCAGCCGCAGGGGCAGCAGGAGGGCCAGGGGGGGGGTACGGTCCTGCTGCTGCTGCGGCTGCGGCGGCTGCAGCTGCAGCAGCTGCAGAGGCGTATGGGTATTCAGGAGGGATAGGAGCACCTGGGGGAGGGTTTTCTGGGGGAGGTTTTATGGGCAGGGGGATGTCGATGCAGCACCTGCATTTTGGTATGGGTCGAAACCCGCCCTCATGGTTCGGGTCAGGTTCGGCGGCATGGGCTGCACAGTTCCAGGCCTTGCAGATGGGTCGAGGAGCAGGGGGCACGGGGTTTGGTTCGGGAGGGATGGGAGGTATGGCAGGAGGGCAGCAAGGCTCGGCAGGCTATGGTTCGGCAGGGTATGGCTCGGCAGGAGAATGGGGAGGTCCAGGGGGGAATCCTCACGGCCACGTGTCATCCACCCTTCCTAGTCAGACATCTGGCCACATGACGTCACCTGGTGCCGCTGCTGAATCAGCAACAGGGGTAGAATCCAGGTACACGTCAGCACGAGGAGGCGAGAGGGGAACGAGCGGATTGCAGGCTGTTTTGGGCGGCGGGGGCAGCAGTGGTGGAAGGGACGGGGAGGATAGAGGGAAGAGCAGAAAGGATGGGGCTGATGCTTCTGCTCCTGCTGCTGCTGCTGCTGCTGCTGCTGCTGCTCCTGGTGCTGGTGCTCCCTCTGCTGGTGATGGTGTTGGTGCAGCAGGTGCATCGCCAGGTGGTGGTGAACAGGGAGAGCTACGCAAGTCCGTAAGCAGAGACAGCATGGGCAAACCGGCGGTGAAGGCAACAGCAGCAGGTGGTGCAGCAGCAGGGGCAGCAGCAGTAGGGACAGCAGGAGCAGGGGCAGCAGGGGCAGCAGGGACAGAGCCATGGGACGCCCATCTCAAGGGCATGGTGGCTCCCCGATTCCATCCTGGCTCATCGCATCGCGCTCCCCATGCCCATCCGCCGGGCCATCCGCCGGGCCATCCGCATCCCCATGGGCATGGGCATGGGCATGGGCAGGGCAGTGTTGGGCCAGGTCCTCGAGCACGGGGGCACAGTGGTGGGCTGTCTAGCGCTGCTGCGACCCGTGCTCCTGCTGCTAATGCTGCAAGTGGTTCTGGTGCTGCCGCTGGTGGTGGTGGTGCTGCTGCTGGTGCTGGTGCTGGTGCTGGTGGTGCTGCTGCTGGTGCTGCTGCTGCTGCAGCTGGTGCCATTGCTGCTGGTGCTAGCACTGGGGGGTTTTCTAAGTCGCCTTTGGCTCATCGGGCGTCCATGCCAACGCCTTCGCGTCTGTCTAAGCAGAGGGAGTCTAGCAGAGAGCAGGATAAAAGCCGGGAGCAGGGCGAGGGGCAGCTAAAGAGGAGAGCGTCCCTCGGCGGTGCTATTGGCACTGGTGGTGGCGGTGGTGGGGTTGTTGGTGGTGGCAGTAGGGACAGAGAGGAGAGCGCGCATGCGAGGATGGATGGCGGGTTGAAAGCAAAAGGAGAGAGAGGAGAGGGAGGTGCAGCAAGGAGGAAGGAGGTGATTGTGCACAAGTCACAGGTGAAGGAGCAACAGCTGAAGGCTCCTGGGAAAGAGCAACAGGTGAAAGCACAGGGGAAAGAGCAGAAAGCGCAATGGAAGGAGCAGAAGGAACCTGCCAAGCAGCAGCAACAGTCAGTAAAGACAAAGGAAGAGCCGAAGAAATTGCAGCAGCAACAGTCAGTAAAGACGAAGGAAGAGCCGAAGAAATTGCAGCAGGAACCGAAGGTAGAGCACAAGGTTGAAGGGAAGGGGGTGGAGAAGGAGGCAAAGGCGCTGCCAGCTGCAGCAGCAGCAGCAGCAGCAGCAGGGAAAGACGAGGCACCACAGCAAGCATTGCAGCTGCTCATAGGCAAACGGCCTAGCAAGTGATTGCTTGGGAGGGGACTCAGTTAGGACTCGGGAAATTGGCAGAATGTCTTGACCTGCTGATGGGTGCGGGTTTGGGGTTGGAAACAACAGGGAGGCTGTTTTCCCGTGGCGTCTGGCACACATTTGGCAGCAGTTGTTGCTCACGTGCGAAAGCTGCAGTCCTGCAACCGCAGGAGGATGTCAGTCATGGTTGCATTCATTGATACCTATTTGGATGACTTTATGAAGCCTTTCCTTGTACAACCATATGACTCTAATTGTTGTATTAGCTAACAAACATCTTCAGCTGGTCGAAGTGTTGTATGGTACACATTAGTGTAGTACGCACACCAAGAAAGAGAAATAATTTGAAATACCACCTGCCAAAGCCACGTGGAGGTGATCAACTTCTGTTCCAGATAATAAGACATGCCACTGGTGCTCTCAATGGCTTCAGAAGCCACAGCCCACAGGGTATGCCATATTATTCTCATCATTTTGACTGAAAACGCCTCAGAAACGGGCCCAGCAATAGTCACATTCCGATTCGCAATCCCCTTTACAGTCAAGCGTGTATCCGAGCACCAGAGGGTTCCTTAGCAGCACACCGCGCAGGGCATCGCCGCTGATCCGCCATTCGCGGTCCAGCTTCGCGACATTCGGCGTCAACCGCTTCTCCACGCTGCACGCCAACACCTGGGGAAATTCTCCGAAGTATTTCTTGAAATCGGCATCCTGAAATTTGGCCGTTTCTCGGAGGAAAGAAAGAACGGACGAGATTTGATCAGGCGATGGAACGACGTTGACGATCTCGTCTCGCCAGTACGATCTGGCTGTCCATCCGAAGGCTTTCGCGAGCACTGTTTCGGCGGCAGCTTCCTCCATACCGAGAGTTTCAAGCATCGCTCTGCATTCTAGCCATTGCAGCAGCTGATCGCCTGATAGCTCTTGCGACGGAGACGCTACCGTCGCTGGCTTGGTGCTGGCTCTGCAGACGAATCTCGCGGCTCTATCATTGGAAGTGGCTGTCAGAAATTGAGCAAGAGCTCCGGTTTGGGGAACTGGGGTGCGGGATTGTATAGGAAAATTAGTAATGCTATGTCGCGTTATCATGCACCTGACGCTGCATATGGTAGTCTGTAGCGTAGCCATTACCACTGCGGAATGCGTGAGGCGACGGAAGATCTCCAGAAGTTCCTAGAGTATACCTTGGCTGGCAAGGGGAAAGGACGTGTAAATATGGGGTGGAGCCACAGCATTGAAGCCTAGAGGTTTGTCAGGAGAGCCATTAGGGCGTGGAATATACAGTTGAGCCTTCGCCGGAATCTCCACCACACTATACCACACAGTTATCTAACTTAGATACGTCACAACCGTTTCGAAAAGCATTCTACCACTCTGGCCGTCCGAACTTTCAGAAGTTCGGAACTGTATGTTCCACGCTTTTACAACAGCAGACTGCTGTAGAAGCATATCAGACGGGCGTCTTTTATTCCTCCCAACTTCAAATTCGTGAACTCAGCAGCAAATGCATCGCCTGCACGGGATGCCTCAAAACAGTTCGATGTGTGATTGAACAGAAACTACTGCCATGACGTGGCAGAGCCAGAACCGCATATCTTTTCCAACGATCAATAACGTCTTGTTACGTAAATAATCGCGTACATGTACACTATTTCTAGTGCCATATTTCTTTTGTTCTCGATACTAGCTGCTTCAGGATTATCGTAGCCAACTGCTTTGACTACGCTTGACTGTGCAACTGCAATCGAACAGCATTTTCGATTCATTCCTCGCAACAACCACAGAAGCGCCGCCGCCGACCAACAGCAAAACTGCAGGCACCCACGCACCCTGGGCTTGATGCGCCGCGCGGCGAGATGCAGGCGACCCTGAAAGAAACCAGGTTGAAGTGGGGGGGGAATGAGGGCAACAAACCAGGCGCAGGGGAGTGGAGGTCCTGCAGAGGGGAACATCCCGCATCGAAGCATCCTCGCGCAAAAAAGTTGCGCAGGCAGAATCCCCTCCGCTCGGTTGTGCTTTGGAGCGTTCGCGCGCGGCCCCCGCAGCCTCTAGCTTTTTCATGTCATGCGCCACAACTGCAATCACCTGCCGCATACTTCGAGGTCATCGTGGACGTCCGAAATTCACTCAGTGATTAGCGTCTCAATAATCCAACGGTCCATGTTTGTGTAGCCTAGCGCGTTGCCAGGGTTACCAATCGGACCACCAGCTTCTCCCAAATCATCCCCGGTTTGTTCCCCAGACCGGATACCCCAACATGACCCTGCTTTCCTTCCCCCATGCCATTCCTTACAACAAGCACTGGGCTGGACAGACGGCCATTAAGTGCTTCCTTGGACTGAACAAATACCGCACTGTCAGTAACCTCGAATAATCAGCCATTTCGTCATGGACCATCATGACGTTTGAGATTCTCGAGGTATGCATGCATCGTCGTTATTCTGCTGCTGTCAGGAGGACCCAGGAGCTTTAGCCAAGTCGCGGCGGGTTTGAATTTTGGGCTTGACATATGTTCTCAGGGCGTGACTGACAAGCATGAACACCTGAGTACCAGGCCTCTTCCGCGGTGACAAGCACGACGGTCAAGAGCGTTACCACGCCTTTTTAGTCGAATTCACTAGGTTACTGAAACTTTGGACGGCTTTAACCACTGCATCCCGCTCGTAGGTTCGTTCGTGTCGACCCTGCTCGGAAATCTGCCGAATTCAACTTACTAACCAAAGTTTCTGTCGTTGGAATCTCACGATTCCCCAGATCCTTCTGCAAGCTCCGGCCGGATTGGAATTCATCTGGGATATGTCATGGTTTCCGCGGCCATGCTATGAATGACGTGGTTTTCAGCCGACGGCTGTAGCTTTCAGCCGACAGCTGTAGCTTGCAGCCGACAGCTATAGCTTTCAGCCGACAGCTGTAGCTTTCAGCCGACAGCTGTAGCTTCATCTGACTGTAGCTTCATCTGACAGCTGTAGCTCCATTCAATGGGGATTGGCGCAGCCGGCAAGCCGAATCTAGAAGCAGGGACGTAGAAATAATGCCCAAGATCGTTTAAGCCGCGGGGTACGCCGTCTGTAGAAATAGCGCTCTTGGAGAGCATTCATTGGTTCATATTCCGTTTATTTCGTTAATTTCGTTTATTTCCTAACCGAGACATCATGCCGTCATCATCGCGCGTGAGGATCAACGTCGGCGGGCAGGTCTTCGAAACATCCCGCGAAACGCTCGAGCTAGCGGGCCGCGGGTCGCTCCTCGGAGCCTTGCTGGACCCAGTCTGGTCCTCTCGCGATGCTCGTTCCCGCTCTCGCGAATCGCATCATGACACGTGCTCCTCGTCGGGAGCTGGTTATCCGTTGGGGAATCGCCGCCTGAGACGGAAGGAGAAGGATGAGGAGGAGGAGGAGGATATTATTCATCGACCTCCGGAGATTTTCATCGACCGGGACCCGAAGACGTTCGGTGTGCTGCTGAATTTCCTGCGATCCGGCGTGCTGAACATCCCGGCGGGAGTTAGCGTGGATGCGCTGATAGGCGATGCGGACTACCTCGGTCTGCTGGACGTCGTTAAAGGGGCTCTGCTGCCGCCCGCTCTCGACGCCAATGAGATGCACAGGGTGAGTACTGAGATGCACAGGGTGGGGCACAGGGTGAGTGTACACTTTTTTCGTTGAGTATCCCCGCGGGAGTTAGCGTGGATGCGCTGATCGGGGATGCGGACTACCTCGGTCTGCTGGACGCCGTTAAAGGGGCTCTGTTGCCGCCGGCTCTCGACGCCAATGAGATGCACAGGGTGAGTATGCTCTTGTTCTTCGGCCCGGCGTGGGCCTTGCTGGTGTGTGCTCAGTCGTGGCGACAAATCACAGCTTTCCAACCCCTTCCAACCCCTTCCAGGCCTCCCCCACTGAATCAAACCGAATATGCCCCCCGTCATCCACCCCTACCCCCTTTCAGACATCCGTTCTTCGTCCCAATGTGGGCCCTGCTGATGTGTGCACGGCGGCCCTGCCAGCGCATTCCGGCTTTCCAACCGCTTTCAAGCCTCCCTCCCCCTCCCCACCCCCCACCCCCCCTCCCCTCTTCCCACTCTCTCCCCCCCCCCCACACACTCCTCATTCTACTCCCCTTTCCGCCCCGTCCTTATCAGACTTCCGTTCTTCGCCCCAACGTGGGCCCTGCTGACGTGTGCACCGCCCTGGCAGCACATGAAGACGGCTCTGTTGACGTGGCACACGGCGCCCGGGTGACGTGTTATGACTGGATGCTGCGTCACACCGCCACCATCATCACGGATCTTCCGCAGGTGCGTGAGAACTTTGGTCTCGAGCCAACTTATGTGATCGTGCTATGTGCTATGTGCTACGGGCCATGTGCTCGTGCTAACAAGCGTTTTTTTGGCTCCGAGCACGCAAGGGAGGGGGTTTGTCATTGCTGTTCCCGCTCCCTTTCCCCACCGTCCCTCCACCAATCCGGTGCTGCCAGGCGGACTCCATCTCTGTCGGCTGTCGAACGAGAGGCAGGCATGTCGTTACCCACGCTCCCTCTTTTTGCTCCCGCCATTCCACACCGAATCCGGTGCTGCCAGGTGGACACCATCTGTCGCCTGTCAAACGAGAGGTCATCCATCTCTCATTCTTTTTGCTCCCGCACCTCATGACAACGCATCAACAACACAGACCCTCTCCCACGTGCCTTCCCTGTCCCTCCAATCCGGTGCTGCCAGGTGGACACCATATGTCGGCTGTCAGAGTCTCGCATCATTGTGGGGGGAGGCAAGGGCTGCTACCACCTCCCCATCTACGACACACGGGGCTATGACCACACCCCGTGCTCATATGAAGCTGAAGATCTCACAACGGCCCTCCCCCCCTCACATTCCTCCTCCTATTCCTCTTACCCCCCCTCCCATTCCTCCCATTCTTCCCCCTACTACTCTTCACTATCCCACTCTCAGTCCACATATGCCTCTCCTGCCTCCCTCCCCTCCCTCTCCCCCTCCTCTCTCTCATCCTACACTCCCTCCCCCTTAACCCTCAACGAACCCACCCCGTCCTCCTCCCTCTCCCCAATCATCCTCCCCCAATCCGCCGCCCATTACCCCACCGCCACAGCCAACCCCCTCTACTCCCCTCCCCTCCCTCCCTCCCTCCTCCCTTCCTCCTCCCCCTTCTCCTCCCCCTTCCCTCCAACCTGCAAAATCGGTTCCGTCGCGCTTAGAGGCGCGTCCCACCCGTCGTTCCGCTCCATAGTTCAATCGGACCGTTTCCTTTTCATAGCGAGTCTGAGGAAAACGCTCGGGGTGGAGTGGGGCGTTGGGAAGGCCGTGGGGGTGGTGGACCGGGGCACGCTGCAGAGTGTGGGGGAGGCCGGGCCGGCTCCGATCACCACGAGGCGAATGGGCGGGCCGGATAAGCTGCAGTGGCTGGCTTCCAGGAACCTTCTCATGGTCGTGCGGCGATACACCCGTGAGTCATGAGCGGAGAGGAGGTGTGAGTGCGAGCTGGTTTTGATGCAGGTAGGTATCATCCAGCCAATATTTATCTCTGTAGTACCATGTCACAGCCAGTGGTGCTGTCTGTAGGACCCGCGCTTAAGTCACCTCAAAACGAAACTATTATCATTCAGCCAGTAAGTATCTACGCAGTACATGTCACAGAACCCCAGTGGTGGTGCTGTGAGATCCGCGCTGCAACCAGCTGGTGTGGGACTGGCGGGAGCTCAACTGCCCATAGTATCCTTCTCCATCTCTCTCCACCTCTCTCCATCTCTCTCCACCCCCGACTGCCATGCTTTCCCCATGCTCGCAGCTGGCATCTAGGGCGGCAGCAAGGGCCTGTCGTACCTGCGGCTGTGGGACCCGCGCTGCAACCTACTGGTGTGGGACCGGCGGGAGTTCAACTGCCTATCATATCCTTCTCCGTCTCTCTCCATCTCTCTCCATCTCTCTCCATCTCTCTCCATCTCTCTCCATCTCTCTCCGTCCCCAATCTCCCTGTGCTCGCAGCTGGCATCTAGGGCGGCAGCGAGGGCCCGTCGTACCTGCGGCTGTGGGACCCGCGCTGCATCCGGCTGGTGTGGGACTGGCGAGAGTTCAGCAGCCCACCTTTATAGCTCCCTTCCCTCTCTCCCCGTTCCAATTCCCCATGCTCTCCTTGTATTCACAGCGGGAGTTCAGGGGGGCAGCGAGGGCCCCTCGTACCTGCGGCTGTGGGACCCGCGGTGCAACCAGCTGGTGTGGGACTGGCGGGAGTTTGACGACCCTCAGCCTGCCCTGGTCCCCTCCGACCGGTGGTGCGCTCTCTGCGACGCCACTGCCTGCGAAGACCTCTCGCTGCTGCTCAAAGCCTCCCCCTCCGCCCCAGATTCCTCCTCCCGCCTCTCAGCGTTTGATTTGAGGAAGCTCCCGCCGCTTGGAGCGGCAGCTTCGGCGACGATTCCAATCAGCTCTGGGTTTGGCGTTAGTGGTGATGCGGGTGGTTGGGGTGGTGGTGCTGGGGGTGCTGGAGGTGGTGGCAGCGGCAGCGACGGCAGCAGCAGCGGCAGGATCGATGAAAGCAATGCTGCTCCTGCAGCTTCAGGGGTAAACTCAGTATTACCCTACGATGTGGGTGTAAGAGGATCGGCATCCTCACTCTACCGACCTACAGTTTCTGGCCCTGTGCCTGTAGCAGGGGGGCCCGTCCCATCGATAGGCCTGGATAATTGGACAGTCATGCAGTGGCAATCGCCAGATTCGCTCCGGATTGGCGGAATGAGCCTGCAGAGAGACTCAGGCAGGGTTGAAACAAGCACGATTCGCCTGCTCGTCGTCCCAGGCAGGTCGCAGATAGTTTGCAACCGCTGCCCGTCGCTGGAGGTGTGGACTCCGGTGAGTAATCCGTTTGTGCCTGTTGCTACGGGAAGGCTGTCCAGATGGGCATCTCTAGATGAAGAAAAGCTTGGGAGCTTTTTGTCGGTGGGAGGGGGACAGGGAGGGATAGGGGGGGTTGGAGGAGGGGGTGCAGGAGGTGGGGGGACAGGAGGGGGAGGCGGAGTAGGGGGTGGAGGGGGAAGGGGTGATGATGGAATGGGAGGGTATGGGAGAGGGGCTTTAACTCCGGGCTCTCTTTCTGCTGCAGCTGCGGCTGCAAGGGGGTTTGAACCGCCGACTGCGGCTACTAGTGGAGCACAGTACGCAGGGGATGGAATAGCGGGGATGGGGATGGTATCAAGGGAAGCATTGAGTGCTGCTGCTGCTGCTGCTTCTGGTGCTGCGTCTGGTGCTGGTTCTGATGCTTCGCCTGCTGCTGCTGCCACTGGTTCTGGTGCTACTGGGGGCGGTAGCATCAGCAATAGTGGTGGCGGTGCTGCTGCTGCTACTACTATGGCTCCTGCCGCTGCCGCTGCAGCTGCCCCTCCCACACGTTTTGATCCATACTCTTTTCGACGAGCTTATGGGGACACCATGGGCGAATACCAGAGGCGACGGGTAAACTTTGAAGCACCCCCGGATCACTGGGTGTACAACATGGCCTTCGGGGGAAACCGCCTGTTCCTGGCGCGGGATGACCAGAGGCCAGGAGGTTCAGGGCTAGGTTCGGTCGAGGTTTGGGAGACCCGAACGAATCACAGAGTTGGGCCATGAGCAAAGCACTCTTGCACGGGGGGAAAGGGAGAGGGGGGAAAGGGGGGAGGGGGGAAAGGGGGGAGTGGGGGAGGGGAGGAGTGGGTGGGTGGGAGAGGTCATGCCTGTGCGTGTCTGATGCTCACATGCTGCAAAAAAACATGCATTTGTGTTATTTGTGTTTCATGTGGGTTTCACTTCAGGGGGTCCATTCCATTCCATTTGATTATCGTTTGAGGTTGAGGGCGTATTCCTACAGGACAGTGTTCAGTACCAGAAAACCCAAAATTGAGTCTGAAACGCGAAACAGTGAGGTCCGAGGGTCAAAACGTGAATTCCTGTGCGGTTCAATGTGGATTTTTTAGAAACTGTGTTGTTGGAAAACACCTCAAAGACTTAAAGCCCGCGGATAAAATAGCAGAATTAGAAACCACTTGTGTTGGAAATATCTCAAAGGACTTTAGCGTTTCTGCAGTGTAACACTACACTCGAGGAAGATTACAGGGGGGGTACGCGAGTCAACGGAGGTTACACGAGGGGCCAGACAAAGAACGCGAAGGAACTCGAAAGGTCACAACTGGAGGTTGCGACTGACAGTTACAACATCGCAGATGGTAACCAAAGCGGCAATCGAGTCGCCTGTGCGACTCGATAACCGCTCCTGCAACTGTATTCTACAACTGCTTTCTTATTTCCTATATATTGCTGTATGTTTGCTTCTTTAACAAATCACTTGTTCTCATATACTAGTACAAGGGTTCAACTGCCTCAACTTCCGCTGCACTACTCAAAGTCTCATTTTACAACTGGGACTTAGTCTCTGGAAAGATCCTAAGGGCTTTTATCAGCCCAACATGGTATGAGAGCTGGTCAGAGACCGAACTCCCAGCAACTGCGCTCTATCAACAACCTGCAACTCAACTCAATTCAACGACTTCATTGATTACAAGACATGGACAGCAAGGGCAAGAAAATCTCTACGGGCTCACCCAGCAGTTAAGAAACTCAACACGGCAACTCTGGACTGCACGCCTCAGGACTGCAGACAGAGACCGGGACTGCTCAAGAAACAACAGGAAGAGCACCAGAGATGGTAACTCCATCACCCTCTTCAAGCGTGGACCCCAACCTTATGGAAAGGTTCCTCAGTTTCATGTCGCACTTCGACCAGCAGCAGCAGACAAGGACATCTGCGCATTCAACACAGAGCAATGGAGGAAACATGGGATTAGCGCCGATGAGCCTCGACAATTCATCATTCGGGAGACACAATCAAGCGCCTACCTTTGCGCCTTATCACTCTTCACCGGGGACGTTCGAGTTCATGCCGCCCCGTGCCCAACCAACAGCAGCTGCATCACAACAGACACCAAACGAGATTTTAAGCCTCCAAGCGCAGTTCTCACACGTGATTAAACTGCAGACATCCTCACCATTCAACGGACACGATTTCTTTACCTGGAGTTTCGATTTCGAGCTGCTGATGGAGGCTGCGCATCTTCTGGGATACTTCAACGGGTCTCTGCCATTCCCAAGCAACGGCACTGGAAAGGAGCAAGAAATCTTCACGTATCAGTCGCTGCTGGCGTATACAGTTCTCCTGAAATACCTGTCACCACAAGAACAGCAGAGCATCAGAACATACAGGAGCTATGGCAACTCCGCAGAACTCGCATGGCATCACCTCAAGTGCCTCTATCAAGCAAACGACAGCGTGACACAAAGCAGACTCATGCAACAATTGACAACAATACAGATGAAGACCAGAGAAAAGGCGATGCAGTATATGAGTCGCTGCCAGACCCTCCGCGACCGCCTGCTTCGGTGCGGAGGAACAATCACTGAAGAAAGCTTCGTGACGCTTGTCCTCGCCAGGCTCGGGCCAGAATGGAGAACCACACGCTCGCTTCTTCGCGCCCACGGAAGAATCTCGGAGATGCACCTCTGCGCCGAGCTTCATGCTGAACAACAGGAGATGGACCTGTTCGAAGAAAGACAACCAAGGAAGCAGCAGCAGTTAGTCTTCTACACTCAACGAAGGAACGACAACAACTACAATCGACGCGGCAAGCAAGATCAACGCGACAACAGAGGACTTACTTTCGTGCCGCCGTTCTGCCACAACTGCCAAACTTCCGGGCACTCCAAGGTCAACTGCACACGCCCTCGCGTTTATCGTCCAGTAGACCCACAAGTCGCTTCCACTCAAGACAGTCCCCCAAGGCGCTCTTCAACATCTGCACAACAGACACCAAACATTATTAACTGTATGGTACACATCGACAACTGCACACCCGGATCACCACCCACTTACGCACCAGACGAAGAAGAGCTCCCGCCACCGCGCTCACAAGGACTTCAGGTCAACCCAACATACGCTGCGGTCGCCAACGCCGAACCCACCGGGCGAAACACCTGGTTCTTGGACAGCTGCTGCGGTCAACACATGTGCTCTTCGGGACGCTTCGTGCAACGAGAGAAATGCCTCAACCGCGACGTCATCATCACCGTCGCCAACAACGAAAACCTGAAAACAAACAGACAAGGCGTGGTTCAGTTACAATCCATGGAGACAAACGTCATACTTCAGCTCAACAAAGTCCTCATTGTCGACAACTTGGGATACAACCTACTAAGCGTAAGCCAACTAATGGCCAAAGGGATTCACCTGGAGTGCGACTCCTACTCCAACGAGTTTCGACTTTACCACGGGAAGGGCGGCCTCTTCATCGGTCGTGCTCTCCTGAAGTCCGGCGTCTTCGTGTTGGACTTCGTCCCCGACCGCGGTACTGCCGACAGCGACGGTATCGTGTCGTTCGCCGCCTGGACACACCCGCCGGATCTTGATCCCAACTTTGACACTGACGGATTTTGGCACTCCAACACCATACCTGCAGCAGAAAGAACACGAGCATTAGCAGTCATCAGACAAGAAAGACAAGTACCAGCAAGTGTCCCTTCCCAACCATCACCTGCAGTAGCAGCAGCAGGACCCAGCCGAGTACCACCACCAGCGATCCGAGGACCGCCAACCAAAGCAGACCAGCTTATGCCCATCACACGAGAAGTCTGTCGAAGTCCCGCCACAGTCGTCGCGTTCTTCTCCAACGCCGACATATACCACCGTTCGCCCGGCCATCGCGCTCCCGACGACATTTGGCACCAACGCCTCGGGCACCCTGCAAATAGTACAATACTACAAACCATCCAAGCCGAAGTGTTAGAACGCAACGCCCTCCTAACGACAAGCGGCCAAGAACTTCGACGACCACGCGCACGGTGCTTCACGTGCCCCGAAGCCGATCTTCCCCACCAGTCCTTTCCATCTCATCACAACCCAAGCGCACCTGCATACGCACCGATGGAAAAAGTCTACAGCGATATTTTAAACATGCCTCGAGAAGACACAGAAGCAGACTTCAACTATGTCATCACGTTCATCGACGCAGCAACCAGATACGTCTGGCACTACAACCTCAAGACGCGCGATCAAGCGCTCGACGCCTTCACAACATGGCTCCCCATCGCCGAACGAGAATCAGGAACCAAGCTCAAGAGCTTCCAGTCAGACGGTGCACTGGAATACCAGTCACAACGCTTCAGGACCTATCTGGCGGAAAGAGGAATCAGACGCCTGGTGTCTCTGCCATACGCTCACCAGCAGCAGGGGGTCGCAGAACGCATGAACCGGACCTTGCAGACGACGATGCGAAAGCTGCTCCTGGGGATGAGGCTGCCCACCACACTGTGGCCAGACGCGATGACCCATGCAGTTCACCTGCACAACCTGTTGTCCTCGTCATCGCTTCCCAACAACGCATCACCGCACCTCCTGTGGACACGAAAACGGGGCAGCACAAAATTACTTCGAGTTTTCGGCTGCATGGTACAGTACAGACCCCACACCGCCCGAGCAGGACGCTTCACTCAACGAGCTCGATGGGGACTACACCTCGGCAGCGCAAAACATTTTCATGCATGGAAAATCCTCGACATACAAGACAAAAATACGGTGGCATCACGTGATGTTATTTTCTACGAGCGACTGACGCTGCAGCATTACCTGGACAACATTGCCAACACACAAGACCCCACCGACGGCTTCTCGGGACTTCGTTCCTTCGCCGACCATGCTGCCGAAGCTGACGCAGCAGAAGAAGACGTACCTGAAGCCTCAGAAGCTGCCAGACCACTCCCTTTCTGTTCCGTACCTGTTCCACTCGACGAAGACAACCCTCTCGATAGTAGCAACCTCGACACCTTTTACCACTTCGCTGACCAAGGTTACATTACACCCCACCCAGTCGACACAAATGTTTCAGAACGCATCGGCCCCAACTTCTTACCTGACCCAGAAGACGGTGACGAAGCAGCTTATTCCGGGAAGGAAAATTCCCCTCGACACACACCCACGGGACTGCAGATTCTCGGCCTCTGGGTCTCCGTCCAGCATCCACCGCCGCCATCTCCGCGCGAGCCATCGACTCTGTCGCAGGCTCTGGGGGGGGAACACAAGGCAAAATGGAAGGAGGCGATGGAAAAGGAGTTAAAGGCTCTACAAGACCGAAATACATGGAAGCTGGTACCTGCAACAAGCATCAACGGGAAGAACGTCCTCTCGGGAAAATGGGTGTACCGCATCAACACCAATGCGGACGGTTCCACCGAACGATTCAAAGCTCGATGGGTCGTACGAGGCTTCGATCAACGATACGGAACCGACTACACAGAAACCTTCGCCCCAGTCTCCCGTCACACCTCCCTGCGCATTCTACTCGCCGTCGCGGCCACGAAGGAACTACCACTGCGCCAAATCGACGTCGCAAATGCTTTCCTGTACGCACCTGTGGACGCTGAGATCTTCGTCGAGCAACCCCACGGATTCATCGACGACCCCACGAAAGTATGCCAACTGATAAAATCCCTATACGGGATCAAGCAAGCCCCGCGGCTCTGGCAGCAGCATCTTCACGGTCGCCTCGCAAAAATCGGATTCCTACAGCTGCCACATGACCAAGGGATGTACCGACTGCAGAAGGGAAGAGAGTATATCCTACTCATCGTTTACGTCGACGACCTGCTCTACATCGGTTCCACTACCGACATCGCCACCTGGTTTGAAGGGGAGCTGAAAGGGACTTGACACTCACAGTGTCCGACACAGTGACCCAGTACCTAGGACTGAATGTCGTCGAAGACAACTCGGCGTTCTACCTACACGCCGGAAAATACGCAGGCACTGTCGCGAAGAAATTCGGTCTAACGCCGACTACGGTCCCGACCCCTACCGCTACGGAAAAACAGCAGCACCTCCACAAAACTCCCCGCGAAGCAAATTCCACGAGTATCAGCAGAAACTCGGCT